TTCGTCATTTTCAATTAAAAGCTTACAACTCTCTTGTATCCAAAAAAAAGAAAAAGCTTACAACTCTTCATGAAAACAAGTATTTTTAGCTTGAATTACCACAATGAAACCACCATATTTTTGGGCCAAACAATTACCAATTGAAATCATAATATAAATTAAGTATTAAATATAAAATTATTTATATCAAATGAAAATTATTGCAAAAACTTAGTTAATTATTTAAATTTTATTTTGAAAATTGAAGATATTATTTATGATAAATAAAATGTGACTGATCTCGAAAACATATATAAGCTAAATAAATTAAAATGGATTTAAAAATTTTATTTCCCCTTACTTTTATCACAATAAAAAATTAAACTAAATATTATTATTTTTAATTTATATCTCAAATCTTTATAATACTATAAATAAATTATATTTAAAAATAAACAATCATTTAAATTCGGCGTATTGTCTAAGATGATAAAATTTTAATTTGTCTTAAATATTTTTTTCTAAAAAGGAAGCTCCTTTGATACCGATGTGAAATTAAAAAGTTTGACATTGTAACTAGGGGTGTAAATAGGCTAGGTTTTGGCTTAAATAGGTCATGTCTGTGTAAAAAATATTGGGTATGACTTGACCTATTAGCCTGTGTAGGTCCCAAATTACAAGTCTGGTCTAACCTGTATTTAAAAAATAAAAGTCTTGGCCTAAGCCTGTTAGCCTGTTTAAGCCTGTTAAATATTCAACAATTTAAAGAATAACTAAAATAATTTATTTTATTTTTCAAAATTATTAAAATAATAATTTTATTTATTATATTTAAAATAAATAATATGGTATAGGCCAGTCTGTAGGCTTATAAGCCCGACATGTACAAAAAAGCTTGTGGCCTATTTTCTAAATAGGCCACTTTAAAAGTCTAGCCCTGTTCTATTTTACTATTTATAATAAGCTAAGCTTGACCTAATATAGGCTAGGCCGTAGTCTATTTTACTATTTATACTAGGCTAAGCTTGACCTAATATAGGCTAAGCTTGGCCTAATATAGGCTAAGCCGTAAGCCCCTGTAGGCTAACTTAGTCCATTTACACCCTTAACTGTAACGTCCCGTTGTACACCTCGAAACGTTAACATTACTTATGATATTAAATGCAGTTACAATCACATTGGTTCAATTAAAACTACGGATAAACTTTTTCACAAAAACATTGTTCATTTACTGACACCATATCTTAACCGTTGATTTTCGTGAATGTAATGGTTATTGTGCCACACTTATTAATTAATTATTAATTTTCAATAAATTATAACCTTCAGATTGACAGAAATTAACGATTAAGATTTGATGTGTTTTTGTTTGACACCGATGTCAAATGATCCTATCCTTTTTTTTAATTTGTAAGATAATTTTAAATGAATAATTATTTATTAAAATAATATTCAAAATAAATTTCAAATAAATAATTTTAGATAAATTTTATTATAATTTTAGTATTTAATTGTATAATAATTTTAATTGATAAGATCATAATAATTTTCTATGGATAAAAATTAGGAAAAAAAAAAACTACTTTTATTAGACACAAGGGGTATAACGTATATGTGATCCTTTTTTAAGTTATAGTTAAATTACATGGGTTAAATTATTGCAAAAACTTAGTTAATTATTTAAATGTTATTTTGAAAATTGAAGATATTATTTATGATAAATAAAATGTGACTGATCTCGAAAACATATATAAGCTAAATAAATTAAAATGGATTTAAAAATTTTATTTCCCCTTATTTTTATCACAATAAAAAATTAAACTAAATATTATTATTTTTAATTTATATCTCAAATCTTTATAATACTATAAATAAATTATATTTAAAAATAAACAATCATTTAAATTCGGCGTATTGTCTAAGATGATAAAATTTTAATTTGTCTTAAATATTTTTTTCTAAAAAGGAAGCTCCTTTGATACCGATGTGAAATTAAAAAGTTTGACATTGTAACTAGGGGTGTAAATAGGCTAGGTTTTGACTTAAATAGGTCATGTCTGTGTAAAAAATATTGGGTATGACTTGACCTATTAGCCTGTGTAGGTCCCAAATTACAAGTCTGGTCTAACCTGTATTTAAAAAATAAAAGTCTTGGCCTAAGCCTGTTAGCCTGTTTAAGCCTGTTAGATATTCAACAATTTAAAGAATAACTAAAATAATTTATTTTATTTTTCAAAATTATTAAAATAATAATTTTATTTATTATATTTAAAATAAATAATATGGTATAGGCCAGTCTATAGGCTTATAAGCCCGACATGTACAAAAAAGCTTGTGGCCTATTTTCTAAATAGGCCACTTTAAAAGTCTAGCCCTGTTCTATTTTACTATTTATAATAAGCTAAGCTTGACCTAATATAGGCTAGGCCGTAGTCTATTTTACTATTTATACTAGGCTAAGTTTGACCTAATATAGGCTAAGCTTGGCCTAATATAGGCTAAGCCGTAAGCCCTTGTAGGCTAACTTAGTCCATTTACACCCCTAACTGTAACGTCCCGTTGTACACCTCGAAACGTTAACATTACTTATGATATTAAATGCAGTTACAATCACATTGGTTCAATTAAAACTACGGATAAACTTTTTCACAAAAACATTGTTCATTTACTGACACCATATCTTAACCGTTGATTTTCGTGAATGTAATGGTTATTGTGCCACACTTATTAATTAATTATTAATTTTCAATAAATTATAACCTTCAGATTGACAGAAATTAACGATTAAGATTTGATGTGTTTTTGTTTGACACCGATGTCAAATGATCCTATCCTTTTTTTTAATTTGTAAGATAATTTTAAATGAATAATTATTTATTAAAATAATATTCAAAATAAATTTCAAATAAATAATTTTAGATAAATTTTATTATAATTTTAGTATTTAATTGTATAATAATTTTAATTGATAAGATCATAATAATTTTCTGTGGATAAAAATTAGGAAAAAAAAAAACTACTTTTATTAGACACAAGGGGTATATCGTATATGTGATCCTTTTTTAAGTTATAGTTAGAAATTACATGGGTTAAAATATACGAAGTACCGATACTTTACAAGTCCTGACGTGTCGTACCCAACACTCTCGGCACTTCAACACTTCAACATGCATTGCAGAGACTTAAAAAAGAGTTCAGAAGTTGCATTGTATTACATTTTTAGTTCCACCTATTAAATTCGTTGAATTACAATTATCATTTTATTGAATTTAATATAAATATTTGAGACATCTTATATTTCTTTATAAAATTGATGGGTATTATAATTTTAGCTTTATTTTTTTATTAAATTATTGAATATTAAATATATTATATATTACATAAATTAAAAATATTATTTAATATCAAAACGTATCTTAACGTGTCGAAATCTAATATTTTTTAGAATTAACGAGTCCGAGTATCGTGTCGTATCATGTCTCGTATCCTATGTCAGTGTCGGTGCACGTAGGTTCAAATAATACACTTCTGCAATTACAATATGTTTAAGTGATAAATTTTAAATTACGTGGAATGAAGTATTATATCATATAATTATATAATAATAAGGACTGAAAGTGTTTTTTTATTATTATTAATAATTGAACTAAACATATATTTAGATTAGAGTGAACAATCTCATATTTGTTTTAATATGATTATATCATTATCATGTAAATCGTGCTTAAGAAAGGTGGATGAAGAAAACTCAGAGAACAAATCTGTGTAAATCGTGCTTGAACAAACCTGTGTAGGAAACCGCGAACAAAGCTCTGTATTTTTTTCCTTCCGTAAATCGTGTTTGAGAAAGACAATAAAGTATGTTGTCCCGCTATTTGACTATTTTATCCATCATTAATTAATTAATAATTATTTTGTCCCTGATTCAAAACTATTTACTAATATGTCCTTCTTTAATCGACTACCTTGCATTTTTAATCGACTAAATAGTTGTTGGGAGATTTAATCGACTAAATCTCCCTACTTAATCGATTAAGAAATCATACTGACTTGTTTTCCTTTGTTGTCTGTTAGGAGATTTAGTCGACTAAATAGGGAGATTTAGTCGATTAAATCTTCCAACAGCCATTTTTGTCTGTTTTGGCCATTTAGTGGATTAAAAATGCAAGGTAGTCGATTAAAGAAGGGCAAATTGGTAGATAGTTTCGAAACAGTGGCAAAATGATTATTAATTAATTAATAAGGGGCAAAAGGGTGAAAAAGCCTATGTTGTCTGTTATTTTTATAAAATGAACTCACATTTTCAATAATATTTGATAATTAATCAATGGTTTAGTTTTTTCTGCAGTAAATGCAGATAAGTTATCTGCATTGAACCTAAAACAATGTCGTTTTGGGACGACAGAAATCAAGGTATTTTTATAATTTTAATTTATTTTAGGCTTATAATAGTCTTTATAATTATAATTTTTTAATATTTTAACACCAAAATGACGTCGTTCGGAGAGTAAATGCAGATAACTTATTTGCAGTAACTGCAAAAATATTTGTCTGTTAATCAAATATAAAATAAATAATTTTAATTCATTGTTTTTGGTAATATTTTAATGGGATAGGATATTATTACTACCAAATAATATTACTACAATGTCACTATTATATCTTAATCGTTGATTTCCGCTAATCAATGATTATCATTTATTGCGAATTAATAATTAATTAATGAGTTTAATTTATGAAAATAATAACCGTTGATTGACAGAAATCAATGGTTAAAATATGATAGTAACATTAATAATAATATTATTTGGTAATAACAATATTCTATCCATATTGTAATTTACTAAACAGTTTGTTTGGTAACTTTCTTAAAAATTTATTTTCCCATTTATGAGAATCATATATATGGGGACAAACAATTTATCATCTATCAAATGTGCCTTAAGTGGAATTAAGTGAGTCAAAACGACAAGTCAACTTTGCGTTTAATCAGCTACAACACAAAGCGTATCTGTCCGTTCATTTTCGCTCTTCATCTTGTTCTTCTTCTTCTTCTTTCAAGAAACACCAAATTCCAATCCTTGCAGCCATGGATTTTTCTGGCTACAACCATCAACACTACCAACAGCAGCAGCAGCAGCAACAACAACAACAACAACAATATCAACATGTCTATGACTACGACCCTTCTCAGATTCAATCCTACGATCAATCATATTCATACCAACCATATTACGCTTATAATAACCAATATGGATACTTTCCAAATACTCATCAACCCCAATTTCAATTTCAACCCGAACCCATCCCGGTTCACCCTCCTGGAGTCGCCCCAACCGCTCCCGAACCGGCTCCATCTAGGGCAACACATGCACCGGTAAAAATTTCCCCTTTTTCGCCCCCTTTGTAATTGTAGTTTAATTCGTAATTCTCTCGATTCTGTTTACCTTTTTATGTTTATTAGTTTATTTGTGGAAATTTTTAAAGGAAAATTTTGTGTTTTGGATCATGACCTAAATGAATTGTAGATTCAATTGTGTATTTGAGTTGGATTTGCTAAGAATAATGAATTAATTGGTATTCTCTATTAATTCTATTTACCTCATGGTGTGCTTGAAATTTGGTTCTTAAATCGGTTTCATCAAATGGAAGGAGTAGTTGTTTTTGTGTTGATTCAACATTATATTGGTGATTTGTTTTCGTAAAAGCTAACATATTGATGAATGTGACTGTGGTGTGTGAGTTATGTACTTGAAGTTTGATGGCCAACAAGAATCCTTTTGGGAGAACTGTTTGTGATTTTCTGTACTTGAATATTCTGTTCCCATTGCAACTTTTGTTATTCCGTATCTATCTCATTGTAGTTTCTAGTTATCGAGCAGGAGAGACCTAATAGTGATTCTATATGAAGTTTTGCTTGTCTATGTGTTTTTCTAATTATGATAACATACAAATATAGAAAACCAATTTTTCTGCAATTTTTTATGGTCTGTACCGGATTACTTTGTTTCATTTTAATATCATATTTTACTTCGATAAATATGTCATTGATTCATTACAATTTTTCTGGAATTTGGACCAACAACAACAACAACAACGAAGCCTTATCTCAGTAGGTAGGTTGGCTACATGGATCAATTGACTGCATTAATCTAAATCAAAATCCAAATTTTTATGTAAAGTAAGGTTTTCTTTGTTTAATGATGAAATATCCATTACCTTAAGGTTTGGTTGTTAATGTTCTTGGGTTGTGGTAGTGGTGTGTTTCTAAATGTGTGTGTGTGTTTTAAATACTCTGATTCTACTAATTTTGCTCAAAGATCATGACAGGGGGGGAAAAGGAAGCCCGGGTAGCTTCTTTTACTCGTATCTCTGGCACTAGACAAGATTAGTAGAACCAACCATGTTATGGATTTACGCCATCTTCCTTCCAAATGAAGGCTTTGACATAGTATAGTTTACATCCAGCACAGGCTCTGTATTTAATATTTCTATAGTGAGATCATTGAAAGAGATGTATTCTATTCTATGCCAATCAGCTTTGGCTCTGGCAAGTTGCTTTGCTGTAGCTGAAACAAGATGACTTAAGCTTGATTTAGTCAAAGTTAAGCCATTATTTGATATAGTTTATTCCTCCTCAACTCAGTTCAGCATATTTGCTACTACACTAATATGCTAGTTTCTTAATTCACTACCAAAAGACACAAATATATTTGAAGAAGTAAATAGAAAAGGCTGATGGAAGATTCTGCAATGCTTTAACTTTTTAAACATTTTGTTATGCTTTTAGAGAGAATATCTTGCTGTGCTCCCCCCAGGCTCCTTTGGGACATTCTCTGGACAAAAGGCCGATCCTGGAATAGGTATTATATCCTTAGCTTTTCATTAAAACATTCAGAAGATGTTGAGAATTCTGCAAGCTTGGCCACAACACCCTAGAGTGACCAGATAAAGACAGTAGTTTCACAATATAAGCTAATAATCAATTGTGGCTATTATCTTTGATGCCACAATAATGCAGCGTGGTAGTGGGTCTTTGCTGGTTGCTTTAGAGCTGATGTAGGCAGAAGATCATCTTGTTTCTCTTCTGAACTGTCTGGCCTTTTAAAGGAATAATGCCATGCCTTACAGTTTAGGAGAAGAAACTTTATTCTTTTAGTTATTCGTTGGATATAATTTTTGTTTGATTTGCTTTATTTCTTCTTTTGAGGGTGTTTCGTTTTCAGTTTCAGACTTAGGGAAGCATTGAGCATGTTTTCAGGACCTTAAATTGACCACTTGTCAAGGATTGCTTGATCAACGGTATCTTGAGGCTGATAAAGTTGTCGATGGGCATGAATTGGCCAAAATCCTTGGTCGATGGGTTGGTGTATTGGTTGATTTGAAAATTATGATGAAATGGTCTGTGAGTCATAGATGTTATACCAACCGTAATAAGGGAAATTCATGTTTGTCTTATGCCTTATAAACAAGAAAATTAATTTCAGAAAGAGGGAAAGTAAAATAGTTGATAAGTTTAAGCTCATCCGTGCATGCTTCAAGTTTCTATGCTCTCCTTATAATGCTGTTTTCTTTGGAGATCAAATGGACAAGGATAATTGTAAGAATGCTGGAACTCTTACAAATGCTGGATCCAATTGCTATTATTAGTCCACATTTGAATTTGGAATAAAAAAATGGTGGCTCAAATGCATGAGGGGCACACCTCTGATTTGAATTTTGGAAGGGAAACTAAAAATGAAGGAAACCATTTGAAAGACTAAAATTGTTAAGCTATGAAGCAAAGTGTTCAATCAAATTTCAAGTTGTTTTTCAGTTTCCTCCTTTTTCTGAGATTCAATTAGATCCTTATTATAATGTTAATTGACATAACTTGGGGCATTTAATTTTATGTTGAATTGATGATTAATGGTTTTAACTTTTAGCCTTGTTGATGTTTAATATTCAAAAGTTTGATTTTGAGATCCATGATTGAGCTATATATTAAAATTTGAATGATTCTGGAAATTCAGGATGCCTTGAAAGCAATTTCAAGGCCATCATGGTCTGTCCTATTCGTTAATGTTTGTGATAATTTAAAATGACTTTCTGTTTTAAATTTTCCCTAGATTATCACCTGGTTGAACCAGATTCCTTCTCTTATTCAGTTTTATCTTTCTCCATATCTCTTTTTTCCAGTATTTGCAGGCTTTTGGAGAATCATGAGTTTTTCATTAATTGACTCAATTTCACCATGTTGACAGATTATTGTGGTTTGGATTAACTATTGAGAATTTTAAGTATTATTACTGTTTTCTTTTACTTCTCTCTCTCTCTCTCTCTGTGTGTGTCTGTCTATCTCTCTTCTCAATACTACTACTCTTATGATATTGTGTCATTTGTGTGCACATCTTTTCATTATAATCGTTTTTCCTCAAATTTCCCATTTTTATTCATACCCGAATATTGCGAACAAATCAATATATGCTTGGGTTCATATTTGAATTCTTATTTACAGACTGGGCCATCTCAATACCGAGGTAGGGGTGGCAGGGGTGGTAGACCATTTAGAGGGAATGGTCGTGGTCGGGGCCAGTTCAATCATGAAAGTCCAGCCTCTCACTATGGTAGGGGACGTGGAGTGGGTGGTGGTAAACACTTCCCATCTCATTCTTCTGGACCTGCTATTTCTAATGTAACAGGTGCACCTACTGCTGCTGGAGCCACTTCGGTGGTGCAACCTTCATCATCAGTCTCTGGGCAAACACCGTTACCTAAACCAACTCAAATGCCAGCTGCCACCCGTAAGGCATGTTGTGAAATTTGTAAGGTTGAGTGCAATACTCCAGAAATCTTGGAGCAGCATAAGAATGGAAAGAAACATAAGAAGAAGATGAAAGTACATGAAGAATTACAGAGACGCAACGCCATAAATGAACAACAGAGTGGACAGATTCCTACCTCTCAGTTGAATTTAGCAGATCAAACAAAGAAAGTTCAGGAATCAGAGAAAAAAGGATACACCACAGAAAATCTGGGATCTGAAGTTACAGCTGATAATGATAAGGATGAAATAGAGCTGCAGAATAACGTGGGAGAGACTTCTGAAGTTCCAGCTGAAGAGCCTGAGGGGAAAACCACGGATAAATCTGCTGTAAGAGGCCGTGGATTGAAGCGTAAGATGAGGGGAGGCAAAGGAGGTAAATACATGAGGACTAATAACGGTTCAAGGCCCGTGGAACTTCCAAAACCTGAGCAAGCTATATCTTTTAGATGTGAGTTGTGCAATGTTAAATGTGAGTCCGAGGTTGTTTACCAGAGTCATCTGACAGGAAAAAAGCACTTATCAAAACTAAAGCGTGTCCATGGTCACCAAGCTTCCTCTGGAGTAGCTCACCAAGCTTTGGCTGGAGTAGTAGGGCTTCAAGGACTTTACCCACCTGACATTAATGCTCTGTCGAATGCAATTAATGCTCAAATCCAACAAGGTGATAATGATCCACAGGTACTTTTGGCTCAGCTCCTGATGACTGTACTATCTCAATCACAAGTACCAGCAGTAGCACCACTTACAGGCCATGTGGCTGCTCAGATACCAGGACCAGCATCTGTGGCTGGAGCAACTTATGAACCCCAGTTGTTGCAGACACAAATGTCAGAAACCACCTCACATGTTGAGATGGACAATCTTACTGGGGAAGCAAAAAATGAACTGTTATCTGTTCCACTGGAGTTAAATGCTATGCCAGGTTCTTCAAGCATTATCACCCAAATTGAAGGTGGAAATTCTGAAACTAAACAGCAGGTGCTAAAACATCCCCAAGATAGTTCAGTCATGACCCCCGCTGACAAATCAGGTGCAACAAATGACCACATACCTTCAGAATGTGAAGCTCCAACCTCATAGTAGGATCAAAGAAGACATAATTACTCTCTCTCTCTCTCTCTCTCATGATCTTTTTTACTCTTTTGGGCTTAAATGTTTATTGTTTATTATATGTTGTTGATTGAGACTTTCTTTTCTACCTGGGGGAGATATAAATGCTGTATGAATTGCTCACATTGATGTGACAATGTGCCAGAAATCCATTACCTTTTGCTTCAATGTGCTATGTTCGTTATCGGGACGGATTAGAAAATGCGGTAAGGACAGGAGTCACACACACCCACGAATAAGAGTAAAATGATCTCTCTCCATACGTGTGTGTGTATATATATATATATATGTATAAGTCTTATCATTTGACAGATTTAATCACACACACATACCATATATAAGTCTTATTCTGGGGTAAATATACACTATATATAAATCTTATTCTGAAGTAAAATGATCTCTCTTCGTGCGCGCGTGTGTATATATATATATATATATGACTTTAATATTTTTAAAGTGAATGTAGATAAGTTATTTATATTCTCTGCTAAAACGACGTCGTTTTAAATTGAAAAATTAAAAAATCATAATAAAAAAGAATATTATAACCCTAAAATAAATTATAATTACAAAAATACCTTGATTTCCGTCTCAAGATGACGTCGTTTTGGGTTCAATGTAGATAAATTATTTATATTGACGGTAGAAAAAGTGAACCCTATATATATATATATATATATATATATATATATATATATATATATATATATATATATATATCATTTGACAGGTTTAATGGTACGGAAATATATAGTATTATTAAAGAGTTTTTGGTCTTTTGACAATTTAATTAGATTTTAGAATTTAATTTGTCCCAAGGATAATGAGTGCGAATTATGAGAGTTGCAACTCTTGGGGAGGATGGAGAGATTTAAATCTGAAACTAAATTAGTCGTTTTTATTAGGGTTTCGAATACTAGTCGGTGTTTATCCGAACATAAAACATCATGTTTAATCAGAAATTTCTGGTTATAGACAAATCTGAAGAATGAAAACTTGCAAATTAGAGTTGACGTAAGCTAAAGAAAAAAAATTATTTGAAGATGGGTATTTTGTTGTAATAATGATTGCGCTTTGCGCATAACATTGATGTAGTAAAAAACAGCATTTAAATTTTTAGTTGAACTAGCGAAACAGCATCAACAAACAAGTTATGAGAGATTCATTATAGTCGTCATTCTAATATTTTCTCATTATAATGATTTAATTTTTGGGATAGAATATTCTATTTATCATTTTTTCCTTACCTATTCATTTTTAATACTATTGGATAAGAATTTTACTCTTTTTTTCTCTTCTTAAGATTTTGATCCAATGATATTGAAGATTAGTAAGTAAGGTAGGCAAGAAAAAAAAGTAGGAAGAATAATCTATCTCTTGATTTTTAGACATGAAGCTTTATTTATTTTTTTGGAGTTACCCAACCCTAATTACCTCTTTGAGGCGAGTTGGCTTCCTCCGGTATCCTCACGAGCTTCTACTCTTTGAGCTGGCTATGAGACTAATCCGGAGTGCGGGGGAGCAGTGATGGCTAAAGGTTCAGCCCCCTCCCCAATAATGCATTCAGCATGAATCGAACACATGTCCAACCCCACTAACTCAGCGTCAAATTACCAACTGAGCTGCACCCATTGGGTGACATGAAGCTTTATTGTTGTTTAGTATCTTATTATGTTTTTTAAACAAATTTAATTATTAATTGCTTTCAAAAATATTATATTAAGTTTTTTTTTTCAAATTTCAGCTATTTATATTTTTAAAGTAATTAATTTTAAATTTTGTTGTTTACGTTTAATTTTTTTCTTCAAATTCCAATTTTTATATTCTCAAATTTTCTCTTTACGTTAAAACTTGCTCTTTCGTTTTATTATTACATACAAAATTAGAATATTCTATTTTGAGAGTGATTCAATCTTTTTCTCTCCTTTCTCGTAAAGAATAATACGTGTTATTTTCAATTTATCTTTTTTGAAATTTTTATTTTTAATTCTTTTGTAGTAATTATTATATCTTTTTATAACTTCAAAATTTTACATTTTAATTTATATCATTTAATATATTTTCTTTTGATTTATACTTTTTAAGTTGTACTTAAATTTAAAATATATGTTCAATGATGAGATACTTCTAAAAGTATTTTTTATCAGTGTTAATAAAATCGGACCGATCCGGCCGGGTCGACTCGGGAAATGGTAAACCGGTTATATAACCGGTCCGGTTGAAGCAACAGACCGGCCATGCATCAGAATCGGTGCGACCCGGTTCGACCTGGCTGATTTTCATGAGAATCAGTGACTCGATCGGTTAATCGTTGACCCAGCCCGGTCCCAAAAAAAATAATTCCAAAATTGTTTTATTTTTCGAAAAAAAATGATAATGGACATATTTGAATATTTTTTTGCTTATTGACTTAGATAAGTTATGTACCTACAATACTAATATTATCTCAATTATGTATTATGCAGAAAATTTTGATTTTATTTATAGTTAGAGATGTTGTTTTCTGAACTTAAAGCCTCGTATCACGATCATTATATTTTGTTTGATCCTTTATTGGATAATAATATGTGATTTATTATTTTTTATATTAAAATATTTGAAATTTTTATCATTTTTTTAGATATTTGAATATGTTTACAATTTTTTAATATAAATTATAAAATTTCATATAATTACCGAGTCATGCGGTTGAACCAGTGACCCAATACCTCAACCAGATCAATGACCGAGCCAATTTTAATAACATTACTTTTTATTCTCCAACAACAATCGTCTTTTAACACTTTTCTTTTCAATTTTATTCTTACAAAGTTCGACTGTTAATTATTCTCTTCATAAATTAAAATTTAAAAATAAAAAGGATAAAATTGTAAAGGAAATAAAAAACTTCTACAACAATGCATAACAATGTCGAATCCTGTTTTTTTTATCAGTGGGTCTCATTTTTCTGTGTCCGCTACACCAAAAAAAGATTTCCAGAATGGATGGGTGACATCCTGGCGTTGTTATGTGTTACTGGGGGTGTAAATGGGCTGAACTTTGGTCTTTTTGGCCCAAGCCTACGTCAAAAAAAATTCAGCCTATCTGGTCTACTGGCATATTAAAGGCTTTATTTGTAGGCTAAGCCCGACTCATTTTTAAAAATAAGAAAGTCTGGCATGGCCTACAGACCTTGTAGGCCTCCCACTGTAGATACTAAGCAAAGAAAATAATTGTATAGAGCAAAGAAAGGTCCATTCATGCATGCACTAGTACTTCTCATAAGAAAAAAATGACAAACAAGAAAGAGTCAACATAATACCCCAGCTCTAGAATGTATATTATATACGAATAGAGTTAAAAAAATGGAGAAAATAAAAAAAATACAATTACCGGATGCTGAAATAAAGTCTACAAGAGAATGTCATTTATCTAAAAATCTTTAAACCACCATGAAGACAAGGGAAAGAAGAGTATTATTGAAAGATCTTCATCAGTAACATCATAATCCAGCAAGGTACCCATTACTCCATGGTATTAAGGTGCAACAGCATGTAAAATTTGGAGACATTAGACAAGTTTTCCTTTCATAATATAAAATAGCACAAAAAGTAAGAGATATTGGTATTTGGCACTTTGCGTCTTTGCCACATAAAATAAATATTATTTTATTTTAATAAATTAAATAGGCCAGCCTACAAGGCTGTAGGCCGGGCTTGACAAAATTGCCTTATAGCCTATTTGTTAAAAAAACTTTTTTATAAGCCTAAGCCTACTCTACTTTTCTGAAAGGCCGAACCTGGGCCGGGCTCAATGTAGGCCGGGCTGGGCCAGCCTGACCCATTTACACCCCTATGTGTTACTGCAGAAGTTTTTGTGATAGAAAAAATATATTTCCCTTATAAATATGATAAACTTTAAGAGAAGCTTAAGAAGTATATTTCCCTTATATATATTTTTCGAGGGATAAGTTATTCTACTTAAATTTTTCTTATGTTTATCTTATCTATCACTCTTCAACATCGTTAGATCAGAATCTTAATTAATGCTTACTATTTCTCTCTCGTCTTGATATTCTAATATAACGGTATTGGAGAATAGTAGACAAGGTAGACATAAAAAAAAATGATAGGTAAAATAATTTATCCTTTTTTTGGATGGGAACGGATACAGTTACCACTAGAAAAAGTTTACCACTCTTACAACCAACTTAATCAGCGTTGATTTCCGTCAATCTAACGGTTATAATTTATTGAGAATTAATAACATTTATTGAGTCACATTTATTAATTAATTATTAATTATCAATAAATTATAACCGTTAGATTAGCGAAAATCAACAATGATTAAATTGGTTCTAAGAGTGATAAACTTTTTTGGTGGTAAATATATATGTCCCCTTTTTGGATTAGTATTTATCCTTTTAAAGAGGATATAAAATTATGGGGGAATAATTTATGTAGTTGTGGCGGAAATCATCTCCTTTGCCACTACTGATAAAAAGTTAAGAGAGAGAAGAGAAAAAAATGTGAGAGAGAAGAAGATGAATGAGTCGATGGCATAAATTATTTTTCTGCTTTTGAGGCAGAAATAATTTTCTCTAATATTATATCATTTTAGTTAAAACTACTGTATTTTGTATTGAGAGAAACATAAATTACAGGGAGAGAAAGTGGAAATTTGTTTTAATTTAAATATTAAATAAAAAACATTAATTTTTTTTTTTTTTTGATAACATTAAGGGGCGAAGCCCCAAACAAAAATAAACAAACAACCAGAAACAAAAAATAACTATCCAGGGTCTATACCCCTACAAGAGGAGATTCCCTGAAGATCGTGATCAAATAACTGAGCAAGGTGAAACGGCATAACTCTATGACTCCAGAATCCAGTATCTTTGTGAAGAGCAGACTTGGCTAACCAATCAGCACAGGAATTAGCTTCTCTTGGAATATGAGAAAGCGTTACCTCCCAATCCTGACCGATGAGTGCTTGTATCTTAGCCACTATACGAGGCTGACAAGCTGCATTGCAATCAGCAAGCAAAGAGAATACTTCAGAAGCATCTCCTTCTAGTTCCACCTTCTTAAATCCCAGTTGCCAAACCAATTCCAGACCTTTTAGAGTTCCCCAAAGCTCCGCCATTAAAGGAGTGCAAGCACCAATATGATACTCAAAGCCTCCCAACCAAGAGCCATCATCAGATCTGATAATCCCACCACAAGCAGCCACCTCAGTATTCCTTTCAACTGCCCCATCAATATTAATCTTCACCCAATTTAACCTTGGAGGTTTCCATAAACTCATACGAGTTGGATGAATGCTAGTAGTAGCCATAGCCTTCCTACCCATGCAGTTACGAACTTCCTCTATATACATAGCAATTATGTGCGTTCCATGGGTTGGATGCTTGAAGTTAGTATCATGGACACTTTTGTTCCTCCATCCCCAAATGAACCAACAAGAGATAAAAAAGACATCACGCCAATCATCTGAATTACTTTGATTCCAAGCTTTTGAGATATTATTTTCAACCCAATCTCTAAGATCCAAGCTGTAGAATAAGCTCTGCCGATTAGCTGAAACCAGAGAATTCCAAACACTTCTAGCATGCTTACAATCTCTTAGAACATGGAGGTTTGTTTCCAACTCACCAGGACATATTTTACAATGACCAGATTCCCCACTCCATCTAGATGTGCGGTCTTTAGTAAGAAGGCGGCCATGCATTATGATCCACATACAAGATTTAACACGTTGAGGCCCATGCCATTTCCATATGGTAGTCCAAGAATTTTTCAACGGCATGAGAGGGAAACCAAGCATGTTATAATACGCGGTTTTAACTAAAGAGCAGCCAACCTTTTGATTTCTCCAAATAATGCGGTCATTTCCATCCGATGCGCTAGGAATGAGAGCAGCTTGGATCCTTGCAACAGCTTGATCATTGAGATATTGACGAATATAGGGAAAGTTCCATTGACCAGTATTGCTGTTCACGAAGGCACTAACAGGGAGATTCAACTCCAAACCAGTTGGAGTACGAGTAGCCAGAGAGGCAAGACACTCAGTTAAACCCAACCAATTGTCTGTCCAAAATAATGCATCATTACCGTCTCCAATCTCCCATTGCATTGCTTGAAGAAAAGATGGCCAAACACTACACAGATTTTTCCAGAAGTATGAGTCATATGCATTATGATTTACTTCCCTCCGAAGATCCAAACCTCTCTTATATTTACTTGTTACAACTCGAACCCACAACGAATCGGGCGAAGTAAGTATCGTCCATGCAAGCTTGTGAAAGAAAGCCATATTTTGGACACGAAGGTTAATCACCCCTAAGCCACCCATGCTCTTAGGCTTGCAAATATTATCCCATGCAACCAGATGAGATCTCCTTTGACCATTTTTATCACCCCAAATAAAGGCACGCTGCAACTTCTCTATTTCATCACAAATGGCTACAGGAAGCAGACTGTGTTGCATTTGAAATATAGGAGTTGCTGAAATAACGGAGTTGGAAAGTGTAATTCGACCGGCAAAAGATAAGACCTGGTTACTCCAACCAGATAACTTGTGCCTAATTCTTGCAACAACATCAGCATAATGGTTTTTGGTTACTCGACCATGTTTCATCATGGACCCAAGATATCTCCCTATATTGTGAGTTTGCTTGAAGCCACACACATTTGTGATATCATCTGCAATGTGAGCATCTGTATTTTTCGAGAAAAAAATACTAGATTTCGGAATACTAACCTTTAGGCCAGACATTGAACTAAAAGTCTCCAAGCAATCCACTATAACTTTGATTTGATCTAGAGAAGCTTCTGCAAACAACATCAAATCATCAGCAAACATCAGATGGGCTATCTTAGGACCTTTTGATCCCACGGAGATTGGCTTCCATCTCTTATTGTCAACCGCATCTTGAATGAGATGAGACAATTTTTCCATGGCTAGAACAAAAATGTAGGGAGATAAAGGATCACCCTGACGAACTCCTCTTGAAGGAAGGAAGTCACCTGCAATGGCTCCATTCCAAAGCACTGAGACCTTATCAGAGTTGATACAATTCATGATAATATTTGTGAACCAGTGTGGGATTTGAATTTCATCCAAAATTTTACGAACAAACTCCCAATTTAACATATCATAAGCCTTTTCCAAGTCGATTTTAATTGCCATGAAACACTTTCTTCCTCTCATTCTACGCATTGAATGGATCAGCTCTTGGGTGATGATGATGTTGTCCTGGATATGTCGTTTAGGAACAAAACTAGCTTGGAAGGGAGACACCATCTCTTCCATTAGGGGCTTCATTCTGTTAACCAGAATTTTACTGAGGATTTTATAAATGACATTGCACAAAGAGATTGGTCTGAGCTGTTAATTTTAACTTTTCCATAAACGGATAAACAATTTTTCCTTTTTTTTTTCTTAAATTATTTTCTCAATCTTCTTGTGAGGCAACAAAGCAAATTGGTTTCGAAGTACTAATTACTGTTTTTCATTATCCTCTCTATTATCCTTCTCTGTGTCCAATGTGTACCCAGCAACTGCTACATCTACCACCCCAGAAACTCCTCTTCTGTTCTTCACCTCCAAATGTTACAAAAAACCAATCTTTTGTGGAAAAGTGTTGGACCCAGAATGGTAAAAATTGTTATAGCAGAGTAAAGGCAACAACTTTGGATGAACTTCCCCCAAACGCTCTTCGCAGGAAAAGAGACCCTCAATGGAGAGGAGGCTTCAGCCTTGGAGTTGACTTGGGAATGGCTCGCACTGGCCTTGCTCTCAGTAAAGGATTCTCTATTCGCCCTTTAATGGTAAAAATCCATGCTTTCTTTCTGAATTTTGATGCCCATGTTTCTGTTTCATTTTCAGTATATAATGTTATCGTGTTCTCATGTGTTTTTTTACTTCAGATTCTGTGGAATTTGGGTGTGAACTGAGCATGTAATTTTTTACTGTGTTTTGGGGTTGTTTGTCCATTTTGTAAACATTATTGCAAAATGTTGGAAATAGAATTTCCTAGAGTGTATTTCCCCCCCCCCCCCCCCCCCCCCCCCCCTTTTTTTCAAGGGTCTGAAGAAAATTGAACTTATGTGGGCTTAAATGGTGTTGGCATGTAAAGTTTATCCTCATATATATGTATGTTGTTAGTTGCTAATGTACTGCAGAGTCTGAGGTAGTGATTGCACCTATGTCTATTTTGTTATGTCATTGGGATAGGTTGTGTCTGTTGTTTAGTATGTGGAAAGAAATCTTGTGTTTATGGGTTATGTATTTTGTAAGTTTTGATGATAAAATTTATGGGTGGAGCACATATTACTGCTGCAATTGGAAAGAAAATGTTGCTGTTGGTCTTGACAAGGTTAATATGTTGTTATTACTGCAAGTGAAATCATGAATCATGTTATTTGTGTTTCATCAGCCATCCTTCCCTTATAATTTTGTAGTTGCTTTAGGTTTTGGAACTGCGAGGACAGAAGCTTGAGGTCCAGATTCTTAACATTGCCGAACAAGAGGTCTGGATTCATCTTTTGTGTCTTGTAGTACTTAAAAAATTGGTTGATGAGGTTCTGTTTCTGTATAGAGATAACATGATTTTGAAACTGTAGGAGGCTGATGAGTTTATAATTGGACTTCCTAAATCTTTTGATGGGAAGGAAACACCACAGTCGAACAAAGTCCGTAGTGTTGCTGGAAGGCTCGCTGTTCGAGCTGCTGAGATGTAAGGCATTTTGATGTAGCTTTTACAATTTAAATTCTTCTATCTTTATTTATAAATTCCAAAACAAGAAAAGGAATAGCAATTGGATGAAATGTTCATTATACTCTGATCACAATTCACAAGCACATTCTTCTTCAGTGTCAGTTTTATATATTATATTCTATTCATTTTACAAGCTGCTAAATGAATAGAACCCTAAGTTATGACTTATGATAATGCCTCCAATACCCAAGGATTGACCTTAGCCATCATATTAAGATATATCTCGACTCTAATTTCAGGGGTTGGAGAGTATATCTACAGGATGAACATGGGACAACAACAGAAGCCGTAGATCGAATGATCAACCTGTAACTGCGTTTAAACTTCTTTATTGATTATATTATATCCTTTCCAATCATCTCTTTTTTGTGTGAAATGGCTAATTTCCTAAGTAATATGAATTGTTTAGGATCAATATCCTTGAATCAATTTATGGTAATATTGGTGATTATTTGGCATCGGTTACAATGACACCAAAGTGGAAAGTTTACACAAAGGTTATACTGCTTGCAGGATTCTGTATTCACTATTCACTTAGTGTATTTTATGGGACACAGTTCTCTTATACTACATGAAGGAAATTTGATGGGAAAAGAACCTATGTAACCTCCTGATTGGATCTTGTTCTCGAAGTATCATTTTAAAGTTCTTCAGTGTAAAACAAGTAAGCTAGTAGGTGAACGTTAAATCCTTCATAGTCTGTACAGAAGACTTCCTTGGGAATAAATATGCATGTTATCTCTTAAAACTTTGAAAAAGATTTTATAAAATTTTTTAATAGGGCAAGTCTTGGAGTAGTGGTGAGGTTGTTCCTTGTGACTGGAAGGTCACGAGTTCGAGTCTAGGAAACAGTTTCTTTGCAAAATGCAAAGGTACGTACAATCGACCCTCACCCTTACCCTCACAAGTCAAGGAGCCTTGTGTACCGGGATTTTCCCCTTTTTGTTTAAGGCCATTTTGGGTATAAAATTGTTTGCCTTTGAAGAAAGATGCTTCATTGACCCTCATACTAGTTATGGTTCATATTCCACTGAAGATATTATGTGCTTGAGCTTATTTTGAGTGTGTATGTGCATAAATATATTATATAATGGGGAGCGGGGAAATGACATGCTGGGGGACCGAAGGCGCCATCAACGGCATGTGAGCTTAGGGTCACTGGTAGCAGAGGAAGTACTTTCTTTTTACTGTTTTATCTTCGGTATGAGATGTGAGAGTCAAATGAAGATTCCCTCTTTTATACTAGAAGATTCCTTTCAAAAGATGTCAAGCACAATTTTGTATGGAATTTATTATTTTATTGTTTAATTGACACACTTACAACTTTTTCAGGGGCCTAAGTAAGTCCTCTCAGCAGAGCAAACTTGATGCCTATGCTGCCATGGTAAGTGAATATCATATTTGGTGCCTTTATGGCAATTTCATTCATATAAAGTTTTGTATGTGTTTGGTATATCTATCTTTATGCTCTCTATTTTAAAGTGCCAACCAGAAGAGAAGGAAATTCTGAAATAATTAAGAGTCTATGATTTTTTTTTCTTTTACCAGATGGTACTGGAGAGATATTTCTCCACATCAGGTGAGGATACTGAACTTGTTCTGCCCAGGAATCTAGAACTACAAGAGAAACTTCAAAGGGGACCTCCCAAAGATGTTGATTTTTTCTCAGATGAAGATTAATCACAAAATAAATGCTTTGTGCCATTTGCTTCTGTGGCGAATATTATGGTTGTTCCTGGTAGTAAGGGTTGATAACATGGGATGCAGCTTGTACCATTCCATCATTCATGTTTACAAATTACAAGTATGCATGAGAAAGTTGAAAAGAGAGAAAGATATTCTAAGAATCAGTAATGAACATGAAGGATTTGGATTTTACGACTGGAAAGGGAGGGCAGCAAGGAGAACATGACGTTTCAAGTAGCGACGTGCAAAACAACCAAAAAATTGAATCGAACTAAACTGCATTTAAAATAACTAGTTTTTAAAAATCAGTTCATAAACTGAACTGGTTTTTAAAAAATCAATTCATGAACCAAATTGGTTTTTAAAACTAGTTCAAGAGCTGAACTGAACTGATTTTTATTATTTTATTTTTTTAATGTTTTTTTCTTTTCTTTTTAGAATAGTGTTGACCCGAATTGGTTCCAAATCAAACTAAATTGTTTTCAATCGAATTGAACTGTTTTCGAATCGTTTAAACTAATTTGGTTCAATTTTTCAAAAGAATTACTTCATTTCGATCTATGCTCATCTCTATTTTCAAGGCATTAAAATTATGAATAGGAGGAGTGCTAGCAACGTACTCTTTGACACTCTTTTCAACACTTTCTCAATTATTGAGTCAAATCTTATATGGACCCCACTAAATAACCTAAGCTCACTCTTTGTTAGTAGGACCAATATGGGATTTTATCTTGCAGTAGATATAATATTAAAAAGAAGTGTCAAAAATTATTGTTAGTATTTCTCCTTAAAATAGTAGATATTATCAAGGTAGGTTGTTGCAAAAATCAACAGCACCTAAACTTTGGTATATTCAGAAGATTAAGCTGCTTGTGATTAAAATGATTGTCTAAGAACTAATGCCTCAAAACCTGATATCTCTCTTGCAAGTTAATTTGAGTAGCATTTTTTTTATTTGGTACGATAATTTGAGTAGCATTACTTGGAGCTTATTGTGCATGTTGCATTTTGTAATGGCTAGTTTCCCATCATTTCTTATTTTGTGGGTTAACGAAGTTTGAGACATATATATATGCATGATGATGGTTGAACATATCAAAAGATGCTCAAGCGTTCTTGACTCTTTAGGCTTCATCTTTATACAGATTTATGCTGCTTGATTTATTTCCTCTCACTGCAAACAAGTTTAAGCTTAAACTGATAGAAGCTACCGTAGTTGGCTTAATTAGGCTCAACTGAGTTGAGTCAAATGGGCTTTTAACTTTCAATGAACCAAGTCGATTTCGGCAGGTCCAACTTTCTTTTCGACTCTACTATCCTCAGTTTGGACCGCTCAAAAAAAGAAATGAAGTTGTATATATTTTTTAAATATTTAAGACACATTTACAAATATTAAAAAAATCGACTCAGTACATACACAACAATTAACACAAGATAAGATTTAAATGAGCAAATTTAAGAGTCTTAATAATGACATGAGATTATTCTAACTTAATCCCTATGTATGCATCTGTGTCAAAAACTTGGTAAAAGAGTTAGTATTTATGGTTTTTGCAAGAACCAACGGAGTTTTATTTATTTTTTTAAAAAAAACTTAGGAATTATCCATCTCAACTTATAAGGATGTAACAAATAGGCCTATACTTATGAAGAATGAAAGTGTTTGTTATATATTATTTATATGAATATAGTAGAACTAGATAAATGAAAAATGTTAAGTTTTCCAAACAAATTCTCTATTATTTTGTAATTTACTTAGAATAAATATTAAAAGCATAAGTACTTATCTTGAAAACATCAAAAGATTTTAATATTCTTTGAAAAAAATTATTAGTATTATTGAAAAGAGTTATGAAGAAAATATAAAATATTCCTATATATCTTCAAATCAATGTCACTAATAAAATAATTCTTAAAACTTAGTTTAATGTTAGCTCGTCTTACGCGCCTCACTAGTAGGTAGGACCTGATATCGCGTCAGATGATGAATATACTGCCAAGGAAGCACGGACACTTGTAAAAATAGGAAGAGTCAGATCCGACACGCTCCGACACGGCGACACGCTCCGACACGGTGTCGGACACGCGGTTGACTTTTTCCGACACGTTGACTATTCTGACACGCGAATTTGACCGTGTCCGACACGGTCAAATGGCATTTTCGTAATTTTTTTTAATTTTATTTTTTATTTTTTTTATTTTTTTTTTAAAGTTAAAATATATTAATAAAGCTTCCACCTGATTATATTAATTTTATCTTTTTGTCTTTTTTCCCCTTAAGTAGATAAGAGATCATCTCAACATCATTGTTGTCAATTCCTATCACGCTCTTGTTGTATCTTCTTCTCTCTGATCTCTCTCTAATATGATTTGATCTCTCTATCTGATATTATATCTCTCTCTCATCTCAGTTCTTATTTATTTTATTAAAGCTTCCATCTTTATAACGTGTTGATGGGTATTATTAATTTAGTTTCATTTTTTTGTTAAATTATTAAATATTAAATGAAATATACCCTGTATAAATTAAAAATATTATTTAATATTAAAATGTGTCCCAACGTGTCGAAATCCATAATTTTTTAAGAATGACGTGTCGGAGTGTCGTGTCGTGTCACGTGTCGCGTGTCGTATCGGTGCTACTGCTATAGTGGGTTTGCGCACAAGGCTTACACGATGACAAAGTTTCAACATTTCCAATACCGATTTCCATTCGTGTTCCACTGACGCAAAACTGAATGCACTGTTTTCCCAGTAATTTTTGCAAAATCTAGTAGTGTATTTGAATAAGCTCCGTCTAAGTCAAGTCTTCCTTCTATACAACAGACCATGGCAAGTTTATAGACTAAAAAATACTACTCAAATTATAAACAGCCATTCACTTAATGCAATGAGGAACAAAGAAAAATAAGGTATTTCAGTTAGTGGACCAAAATAGGCTTAAATGGGCATTGTGGAAGTAGTAGTATAAGAATTATCAGTTTTGAACAAATGGGCTAGACATTTAAGCATCGAAACTTGAAAAGAGGCCCTAGTGTTGAGGATCACTTTTACCTTTCAACATCATCGAGTGCCTTAATGCATAATAACCAAATTATTTGATGCAACTATGACGATTTATCATGTCAATTCCTAAAGCGATCAATTCCATTTAACTTGTTCTGTCCTTGCTTTCAAGTTTCAGCCAGTCTACACACCACAAAACCTGAAACGATAGAAGCTTGAGATAAAGAGTAAGGCAAACATAAAGATATGAAAGAAACTTCCACCTGGTACACAGTAATTCAAGCCGGAGGTATTTACACCAGAAACTTGCATTACCAGTGAACTAGAGTGCCATTTTTTTCTGCAGCGAGACCTGGTGCCAATGCAAAAAACATTAATTTTACTGAGGTGAATAAAACAGACCCAAGATTTTCAGGTGTAATATCGTACTTTCATTCATAAATGATCAAGTAAAGAAATCCATATGAGAAAGCTAGTAAAAAGAACTAAATTTTGATTGATCAATTATGTAATTCATACTACACAGCCCACAAAACACACATCAAGATAGAGTGTCAAATATCAGAAAAAGGGGTGTCCTGTGCAAAAAGCTTACAACAAAGGGAGGGTCACATGAATGCAGCCTTAACCCCGTTAGTGGATAGGCTATTTCTGCAACTAGAACCTGTACGCTTAGCCTCTATAAATCTCAAAAAATACCAACTAAGCCAAAAAAAAAAATACTGATAATACCATTTTCATGAAATAAGATTTTTAGACAACAGAAGGCGAATCTTGTAGCAGCAGTAAGGTTGTTCCTTGTGATCGGAAAGTCAAGGGTTCGAGTCTGGAAACAACATCTTTGCAAGGATACGACCACAAAATGTAAAGAACCAATTCAACCCAAAAGCTAAAGTTGTTGGGTGAGGCTACATTAATGGTTTTATATATCTCAACACACCCCCTCACACAAGAGCTCATTGGGCTTGAAGGATGGACAATGCAAAGGCCCACCTACCTGCGCGAAAAAAGAAATTCCACTAGAAAGAAAGTGGGGGGCGGTGAGGATCGAACCCGGTACACCGAGGCTCTGATACCATGTAAAGAACCAATTCAACCCAAAAGCTTAAGCTATTAGGTGAGGCTACATTAATGGTTTTATATATCTCAACACGCCCCCTCACACGAGAACCCATTGGGATTGAAGGGTGGACAATGCACAGGCCTACCTACCTGTGCGAAGAAAGTGGGAGGCGGTGACGATTGAACCCGGTACACCGAGGCTTTGATACCATGTAAAGAACCAATTCAACCCAAAAGCTTAAGCTGTTGGGTGAGGCTACATTAATGATTTTATATATCTCAACACAAACAATATACCCTCACCCCTATATATGGGAGCTTGTGGATCGAAGTTTGCCCTTTTTTAAGTTTTTAGACAAGACCTTTCTCCAATCAGTTGGCAGACAATGACTATCTTAATTTAGAGTTTAGTCTTAGCAATAAGCAAACTTAGTTGCAAAACAAAGTTGACATCAGTGGTTTCTCATGTGCCCAAAAACTGCCTATTTTTTTTTTCTTTTGGTATACCGACACTCAGATGTTGTATGCAGTTTTAAGTTGTTTACAACAGGAAACAAAAAACATTAAAGTACAATCAATGGAGACCAAAAATCAACATCATCTTTATCCCAAACTAGTTGGGGAATGGAGAGCAAACAAAAATAAATAAATCATGTGTAGTTTAAGAGGGAAAAAACACTTGCCTGACACTCCTGTTATTTATGTGACAAAGACTCAAAAACATCTTTTCCTCTTCATATCAACTGAGAAGAAAATGTTCAAAAACATTAAAGATAAGGAAATATTTAAAAGGGAAAAGTGTTTATCCTTTTAAATGACATAACTTGTGTCATTTCACTCTCATGACACAACTTTACATCCTTTAAAATAACACACACTTTTCTCTATTTAAAATGTAAATGATACAGAAACTGCTTCTAACTCCTGGATAAATAAGTGTGCGTACAATTTGCATCAGCAATATATCTGAACAACTCCACTGATGTAATTCTTAGCTATTGAAGAGCTCACTGGTAGAAGGCAGGGAATCAGGGGTTGAGCAGGAAGTAGCTTAAACCAACCAAGATGATCCAACAGACCTGAAGATGAACCACCAGTACCACACTGTCAAGGATAAAGTCCTAACCTAGTACTTGGCACCATGTAACAATGAAAAAACATATGAACAAATGCAAGAAAACGTCTTAGGCATACCTAGAGCTTGTAGCTCAAGGCATGAGAAAGATATTACATTGTTCAACTTCCGTACTCACCATTTAGAATACCAGCCTTCATTCAGTTATCAGCTTCCACATATAATCTGCCTGACGAGAGTAACAGATCAATATTTTGGCATGCTTTATGTTGCACAAGCCAAGAACCTGCCTAATAGAGAAATTTGAGCATAATGATTTCTATTAAGTTAAGGAATGGATATATAGAAAAATAACTTTAAGCTAGACTCTCAGATGGGAAATCATATTAAAAACAACTTTATTTATTACAACATATTACTGATGCAGATGCAGCGTATATACAGAAGCAGATGCAAAGGCTAATTGCAGATAGCATATAGCAGTTAGAGTAAACTAACGGTTAATCATTTCAGTTAGTTTGATTTCTTTTACTTAGTTATTCAGATAGTTCGTTGTGTACACATGTCATCAAGTCAGTCACATACAACCTATCAGAAGCTCACCCCTAGGTATAAGTGAGTCTTTGAGATGTATTACACACTTTTCATTCAATGAAAATAAGAGTTCATACGAATTTAGCTTGTTAGAGATTACTTCTTGGCATCCTAGAATCACATCCAGACAACCAAGGGTGATTCCTCTTGTATTTGAGTCTTAATAAGTAGCTTTCCACATCACATAGGACTTGCTTCTGATCTAGCCAAAAATTATTGCAATATTTTAGAATTCAAACACAACACATCATTTATATTTCCTTTTTGGTAATTTGAAACCTTAAAAGGGAATTTGCCTAACATTACCCAAGCAAACCCAATTTCCCTCAGCACAGAAAATATTCCCAAACTCAAATTTGTTTCCTTCAAAACCGATTTTTTGGCAAGCAATTTTCTTCAAAATCTGAAATCTCACACAAATTGGAAAAACAAATTCGGATCATAGTTTGTAAAGATTGGACAAGAGTATAATCTATCAAATAAGTTAATTGGAGACATCAGAAAGCAAGCTTGAGATAGTTAGCCTAACCAAAAGAGCATGCATGCTTACATATATTAGTTAGTTTAAAAAGAACTGAAACTATCAGCAAATGTCCAGGTCATAGTGATGGTGACGTAATAGGAACCGGAAATTTTATTAGTAACAAAATAGGGATGAACTCCAGGTACAATGGATCAAGTCACTCAACAAAATAAAGGACTAAATAATGCAGAACTTCGAGGGTATGCATTCTCCCTGCCTAGGGCTTTCGAAAGGCACTTGTCTCCCAATTCCCAATTTCTAACTGCTCAATAGTATGCCTAATGAGCCCCTCTTCTCTCCTATTTATGGAATCAATCACCCATAATTACATAATCAATCACCGTAAATCGACCTCATAAATAAAGAATCACCAATGATTATTAATATTGAATCCACCTATAATAAAATCCCTGCATTTATTATGGACACTTAGCATGGTGAAGGTTGGTGTGTTCCTATCAATACTTCCCCCTAAAACTTCCACCTTGTCCTCAAGGTGAAGGTCAGCCCACGAAAATCTTCCTTGAGGTCCCACTGCTTGAAATGTAGGGAGGGACCCACTTATGTAAGAAACATAAGAACTTCCACTTGGATCCCGTTGCACTTCTGCAACACCCATTGGTCGAGGATGATAGATTTACAACTTGGAGATTGTAATGCCAACCAGCATAACTTTGATGTCTTCAGCCGTTCCCAAGTTTGATGGGCCGAAACCAGGAGTCTTGGATCTGAGTAAGCCCGTTGAATCATGGGATCGCAAGCCCAAATGTCACAAATAAACACAAAGAAAAGACCCATGTCTCTATGTAAGCTTAGGAGTGAGAGTGCTTTGGGCTTGATCCATTTTGCTATTCAATTGGCCCAATTTTCCTAAGCTCCTCCATGACCTAATTTCGTCCTCTCTCTTCAGATGAGTTGGTAGCCGGCACAAAGATCATTCCTCGTGAGGGTTCAAGTCTGGTGGACCATATGGTGGCGGCAGCTTGGTGTTGGCGCTACTGGTACGCGCACATTGCTCGTCTGAGCCTCAAAATGGTGTGTTTCCTAGAGTAACTCGCATCTATGCCATGAGATGCTCGTTTGAGCCTCAAATGGTGCACTTCCTAGAGTAACTCGCATCTATGCCATTATCATGGACACTCAGTATGGTGAAGGTTGGTGTAGTCCTATCACACCGCAACTAGCGCAGCAAAGCAATCACCACCAAAAATGCCAGAGGAACTGGGATAACAGGGATGCCGCTACAACAAAAATGGCAGCTGCAATGAAAAGACTACAAAAAATTTGTAAAACATGCATAATTAATAATCCTAATTTTTTAAAAAATTTATAGTTTACACCATAAACAAATTAAAAAAAACAATTATAAACTTTCAATACTCAATTTATGATGCATTTATCAATTATCTTATTCAAAGCATTGAAAAAAACTAAAAACCAACAACAATGGTGTAGCATGCATAAGTAGGCAAGACACCTATGACACCCCCCTCCAAAAATGGACAGTGTTGTCAATTACCAAAAACAAAAAGACAGTAATACAAATTACCAAAAAAAGGACAGTTATGGCTTTTTCCTTTTGGTTGAGCTGTCAATATGGAAATTGGTTATGAAATTACATTTCCAATATAGCCCTAGTGTCAATCCCCTTAGGTTAAATTAGGCAGTCTTTCATCATTTTGAGAATTCTTAGATCAGTCCCTATATTTTTAAAACTTTAGAGACACTCATATTTAGATCAGTCCCTATATTTTAAGATCAGTCCCTGAACCTGGTTTATTTTTTGGTCCCCATAGAGACACAATTGAATCTTTTTTCTTTTCTTGGAACTATAGGGATTCATTTGTAGTTTTTAAGCTACAGCGATCTATTTAAAAATTCTCAAAAAGTACAAAGACCTGCAGATTAATTTAAACTCAATCTTATGGGATAAGTCCAAGGTCTACATGTAATTTGATAACTGTTTAACCAAAGAGTGATGTTATATGCACACCCAAATTTTCACACCCATTTAACACAAGTTAACTATGTACAAATTTTGAATTAACAAGTTGTATTGTAATTAAAGAAAATGCAATGTGGTAATCAATTACTTGCTTGTTAATCAAACAATACAATTTGTATGTTGTTAGCGAGTATAAAACAAGAGTGAAATTTTGGGGGTGCATGGATGACGAATCATTTTACTCAATCCAAATGAATCCTTTCCCCTACCGGATGCAATTCCCATCGACCACTCTAGCCACTATTAATTACTCTGATCCAGGCACTGTCAAGGTCTTATCAAATGGCAGGAGCTTCAACAAAAAACCAAACAAGAGTCCTCAATTACAAAAAAAAAAAGTGCCAGACCTCCAGTTCAGTCATTTCTTTTGACATAATAAGATATTTAAACTCTATATTCAACATTATTTATTGTAAAAAGATGGAGCAAAATCAAAGTCGAATTATCTTGATATTTGTCACTAATCATTGGTGACTTGAACTGTACCTTTCAGACAATAACCTTTCAGTCTTCATGTAGTGAGAATCTTATGATATATCGAGACTAGGGATGATTTTTGGAAGTAGTCTGCAAGGTGGCCTTGAACATGACTCGCCATCATTATTTAGGAATGCAAGTTCATTTTCAAGAACAGAATAAGCTTCTGAAAATGCCTGCAACAAATTTATAACTCATGAAAAACACTACCAGAATAGCCAAATTCATCAAAGCATAGTTTTTAAATAAAACACTGAGCAAGCAGAAGATGAATGAGCAATCAATACAAGCATAAATAAGTCTGAAAGAACTGGATCCGAAATTAGGGAATAACAGAAAGAAAATGGGAATTTTATTGAATATCCTCCAACTATGGATCAATTGGGCATACAACGATCAGAAGAACAAGAATGAATCAGATAGGATTATTCATATCGCGTGGCTAGAACAGAAGCCAAGAAACCTCTTGCTGTACGTTCTAAACCAAGTTAAGCTTGAGAAATGGACATAAAGGAATCAGACCCAAGCGTCACTGCATAGGGGATGGAGGCTCAATATAAAAAATACAAGCAATATTTCGAATGCAACAATGAGAAACTACTCTTAGTTTTTTATCATACATACACCAAATAGCAGTAGCACACATGATTAATAGATTAAAATTGTTGGATACAAGCAAGGTTGTTGAATCGCAATACGTATCGTGAATCGTTTGGCTGCTTTTTTGAATCGTGAATCGTGAATCGTATCGAATCGTAAGATTCAGAAACAAATTAAAAATAACTTAAAAATATATAATATCATATATAGTATACCATATCCAGTATTATCGAAAATAATAAAATAATAATCAATGTAACTCAACTGATTAATTGACCAAATGCAGTACTATATTCATATATATATATATATATATATTTTTATCGCAAAATGCAGTTACAGTATACTTATCTAATACCAAATGCTTCATTAGTTCATTGTAATTGACCAAGTGTTTTTTCATAGTGAAACCACGTAACCCAAAGATGCACCACGTACTTTTAATCAGCCCATCATCTTGTAGCCACATACCCATCAACTTTCAAGTTTCAACGGACACCACACATGACTTACATAATATTTTAATATATTTTTTTTAAAGTTAAATTACCAAACACCAATTATAAAATAATACCCAAAAGCAGTTTGCAAGCCTTCTTCACAGCTCATCTCATTCTCTCTGACTCTGAAGTCTGAATGTCGTTCTTCGCTTCGCTTCTTCACAGCTTGCAAGCAGTTTTTCCTTTTTCTTTTTTTCTTTCTGTTCTTTGATTCTCTTCTCTCTTTCTTGTTTTCTTTAATTTGTTTGTTTAATGGGATTTTGAATCCCTAATATTTCTGTTTTCTGAAGCAACCGACCTTTGAGAATCCAAATTTCGTGATCTTTCGAATTCTGACATTTGATTTTTTTTTTTTAAATTCAAATCCTGACTTTTGATTTTTATTTTATTTTTTTAATTTGAATCGCACAATATTTACGATTCACAACTGAATCGTTCGATTCCACGATTCAGCAGGACGATTCTGTGCAAAAACGATTCAATGATGCGGTTCGAATCGTTTTTTCCCCGTATCGGATCGAACCGTGCGATACGTATCGCGTATCGTGCGATACTAACAACACTGGATACAAGTAAAATTGAGACTTACTATGTAGAAAAGGAAATTTCCCTTGGAATTCGAGAGCCTGGTCTCTCCCTTCAAAACAAACTAACCAACTAACTGATTTTACTTACATTCTCCCCCTCTATTTATATCCTACCTATGCTACTGCACTTAGAGGGCTAACTAACTAACTCGTACAACTTTAACAAGGTCTAACTAACAGAAGCTTACCCACTTGGCTCTTTGGGTCATCCTTATTTCATCGAACATATACTTTCTTACCCATCCTTAATTCTACATATACTTTCCTAATTGGGGGTCTGTTGCTAAAGATTCCAAGAATCTCACTTCATTGTAATATTTGTGTGAGCTTCACCAATGACAGCTCAAGTGATGGACAATATACTATGGACTTTGACAGACTTCAAGAAGTTTAGACACAAATTACTCAGAAGAACATCAACATATATGTACCCATTAGAGTCCCAACTAACCAATATTTTATAATCTCCTGCACTAAATCAAATACTGTAAGTGTTTCTGTCCATCATTTTTCAGTGAAGAACATCATACACATTTTACAAGCTATATTGATATCACTAGCTCAGTTGATATTTCTAATGAAAGTATATTTGCAGGCCAACCCACTTCTCTCTTCATGCATTTACATTTCCAAAGTTACCAGTTTCAATTGCACAAATAAAAAGGGTGCGGGAGCCAGTAAATTCATATCATTAGAAACTTTAAAAAAAGTAGGAAAGAACTGAACATGAAAAATTATGTTTAAATTCCTAGGGAAAAAATAATGATTTAGTACTAGAATCATAAAAAAAAAGAGATAAAATGGTACAGTAATAGGTGAATACATATTAAAATTTTCTACATTAATCAAACTTTTCCGATTGACACTCCAATATTCAGCATTATATGCATAATAATAAAATAATAACAGCACAGCTTAATCATTTACTGTCAATTATGCAGTAAGTTTACAAAGATTACCATACTTCAACAAGACCTATCCATTCTCTACAACTTCAAAAATTAATTGCACAGATTCTCATAGATAATAACAAAGAGACAAACATGCCACATGGTTAATCAAAAGGCTACTAATTGTATATTTAAATTACTCGAATTTACAGCTACCCATTAACGAAGATGGTAGATCTATTGAAAAATTGGAAGTACATTTGTCATCCTCAAAAATTTCAGACGCATTATCATAGAAAAGTTTATATAGTATAAACACCTTCAGTTAATAAGGACAAGAGAAGCAGTTTTTACTGCAACAATTACATAAGCCTTATTATTCTCAGCAACAACTACATGAAAGATTTAGCTAAACTGTTTAAAGATAATTTAAATCACAGGTTTCTTTTTTCTGTTATCACGGCATAGCAAAGGCCAACTATAGGAAATATGAAAAAGCTGTTGGTTGTGACTGCATCATTACCTTAATACATTGATGTATTCGGAAGCAATTCCTTCCCACATTATTTGTAGGGAAAAGAGGATCATCTATGTGAATTGGATCAATGCTGCAAAAAAGTTCAATTTCAATTAGTTGGAGAAAATGAAAATTAAAAGGATATCACACTGTGGACACAGAAATATTGGTTTCTCTATTACCTACAACCTCTTTCTCTTTTTATATAAAGTCCACTTCCCTGCACTGATATACGCATTTGGCGAGGATCAAACACATTCCTAAAAGAAAAGTCATTAAATTGATTTCTAGCCAAAAACACTAAATGATTATACAATATCCACTCTAATAGCAACAAGAAAATATAGAATTATCATTAGTTTTCTCACCCAAAAAAGTAAAGAAAATCCATCAGAAGGCTTCCATAGTTCTGCAAGAAAATGGAAGAAAGATTTATTTAGAAGCAGTTACATATCTGAAATAAAAAGTAACTGAGCACATAAAAACTACAACTCTCCGCGACCCTGCTTGGTTCTTTAATAATAAATTCTCTTTAATTAAAAAAAAAAAAAAAAGAGCGAAGTCTGAATCTTTGTTCCCTTTCAATTTGTATCATTCAACCCTTGGTTTCAGCATAAAAGTCAGGTGATACGAAAATATTAGTCCTCTATGGCTATGAACAGTAAGATATAACTAAGGAGATCATTGTTTACTTGGTTTATTGGCCGGCCAAGATGGTGCTCATGCTGAAGAAAACGGATAATTAGTAACACCTACACACACAAAAAAAAGGCCAGTTTAGCAGTTACAGACTACATTTTTCTCAAGCAAGAAAATTCAAAGTTCAAGGAAAAAAGAGGAAGGCAAACCAATAATATATTTCCCAAACCAATAACAAGACAGCTTTAAATCCTGAAAGAATATTTTTCAGCAGCATAGTAGCAGACAGAAAAAAGAAAATTTATTACATACTACTTTTATACTAAGCAAAGGAGAATCAATCACGTGGCGTGAATCAAGGCTTTTTAAACAAAACAAAAAACCCACTATACCGTTTTATACACTTCCTTAACCATTGGTGACAAAAACAAATGATAAAGAGGAAGGCAATAAGGCATGTTATTACTGTATTTCCTAGCAGCTTTTGCCTTAAATTCAAAAAACAAAAACAAAAAATCTAAAGCACGGGTGCCCATAGAAAATGAGATCACAAAAATACTTTTTTGTAGAATATGTAGAATATTCTAGATAGTATTTATTGATGTAGTTGGTAGTTGTATATTTAGTTGGTATGTTGTGTATTTATTAATGTAGTTGGTGGTTGTATATTTATTAAAGTAGTTGAGGTAGTTGGATGTACTCAATATAAAAAGGACCCATTGGGTCTCTCAATGAATCAAGAAAGTGTTATTCAGACAAAACACTTCTACTTTTCTTCATGGTATCAGAGCCTGGTTGTATGAGTAACTAATGTGGAGTTTATAAGGCCTTGGGCACTCCCATGAAGAAAAGTAGAAGTGTTTTGTCTGAATAACACTTTCTTGATTCATTGAGAGACCCAATGGGTCCTTTTTATATTGAGTACATCCAACTACCTCAACTACTTTAATAAATATACAACCACCAACTACATCAATAAATACACAACTACCAACTAAACATACAACTACCAACTACATCAATAAATACTATCTAGAATATTCTACACTCCCCCTCAATTTGGGAGATATATATTGATCATTCCCAACTTGCTGATCAAATTCTCAAAGGTCGGCTTAAGTAATCCTTTGGTGAGGATATCCGTTGTCTGTTCCTTGGTAGGTATATATGTCAAGCATACACTACCGTCTTCTAATTTCTCTTTGATAAAGTGACGATCAACTTCCACATGTTTTGTTCTGTCATGATGAACACTTCTTGATTCATTGAGAGACCCAATGGGTCCTTTTTATATTGAGTACATCCAACTACCTCAACTACTTTAATAAATATACAACCACCAACTACATCAATAAATATACAACTACCAACTAAATATACAACTACCAACTACATCAATAAATACTATCTAGAATATTCTACATATTCTACATTTTTTCCTTTCCTCACTTAATTATTACTAGACTACCAAGGACAAGATTGCTAGAAATAATTATCAAGCTGTTTGCAGTTAAATAAATATAAATGAAATATAACCACAAATTCTGCCTATCCACATAAAGGGCCGACCCAGTTCAAATACCCACTTCGTGAGTGTCTGGGGAAGGGAATACTCTAGGCATCCTTCTCAGAAAATAAAATCATTAATGGTGTACAAAATTATTTACTCATCAAGTAAAGCAAAAAACATCACATCTCCATAGACTATCGCTAAAGCCCCATCAATTTGTGTTACTTAAGCAGAAAGGGGACTAGGAGTTGAGAAATGAAAATTGCACGTAAAAGGAAGCAATCATGCATACCAAACAGTAGGAACTTAAGCCACCAGAGTAGGACTGATCAAGGCTCCTATCAGCTAAAAACTGTTTTAGTGCCAAAGCAAGAGGAGTAGCAGCAGGAAATTGTTCTGTCAACTGCCTAACCTACAGTTGAAAGGAGAAATTCTGAATATAATTTTCCAACTTGTCAAGTACAAGCTACAATATATAGACTAACGAGAATAATCCCTAATAATTACAAATCAAATAGTTTCCTAATTTAAGGGAAATCAAATCAATGCAATATTTACAACACCTACAGGCAGCAGTATCATAATTTAAATTGCCAAGCAATAAAAATGAGAAGCACATGATACATTTGACATCAATATTTATTAATGTAACAAATTGTTTGAAGAATGGAAAATGCTTTTGTGGTCTTATGCGCATCCCGGCACCTATTCAAGTTTTACTTTAGCTCAAGGATGGAGATTGATTTAACGCCCACGCAAACAGAGAGCAGAGAGACCAAATGTAATGGAAGAGAATGAAGTGCAGCCCACACAGGAGATCAAATACCGTATCAAATCTGAATATAGAGTCACAGCTCATTCACTTATAATTAATTTGGTTTGCAGACTACTGGGACTGAACAATTCCAATCAACGGACTTATAGGGTTCTCTCGCTTTTAATCCAATTTCTTGTGGGGATAGAATCACCAAAAAATAATTGTGTTCTGCTGTGTCTAATCCAATTTCTTGTGATATGTTTACTAAACCAGGGAAGCCCTAGGCTGAATTATTTGTAAACATACCACCAGGGATGTATGACAGAAAAACATATGTCCAAGGCCGGAGAAATTACCATTTCTGTGGTTTGGAGTCCTGTATGTGATGGGGACTTAAAGCTGATGTCAACACGAACTGATTTGGACTCTTTCAAGGCATCAGAATTTATTTGGGTGCTTTTCGGCAAAGCTGAATCTTCTGACTGGATAATATCAGAATGACTGTCATTACCATGTTCGCCAGGAGTACAATGTGGCTCTTCTTTTAAAGATTGTACAATAGGAGCTGATGAAGTAACAACATCCTGAGGTACTTCCACCACGAGCATAATAATAGGTATCTAATTGCAAAAAGATACAGAATCATATCTTATACAGAAGATAGGAGTATACCTAATAAGTTTATAATAACAATTAACAGCTTAAGACGAGATATTACAGCTGTATTTTCCACCGTCTTCAGAGAATCATTTTTTACCCAATCCTGATTGGCAAGATACCTAGCTGCATGCTGGCATGTAAACATAATAGTGTCAATTGTCTGATATACTGAAAATTGTGTAGTTCTAACAATTATTGCTAAAATATTTACAAAGTAGAAAGCAGAAATCATTATATCCTCCAAATACATCGTTACAAAGAAAATGAAAGGAAAACAAGAATAAAGTACAACAAAAGCAAATTCTTTTTACACGTCAAACAAATCAAACCTCATTCAAACAGAATGGGAAAGACCAGTTAACAAGATACATAAAAAAATGCATTGCGTAGTGTGATAGGGGTAGAGCAAAACACTTTCTAACGTCTCATTTTTTCACGAAAGCCATGTTCAAGACAAAACCATCAAAAGTACATTAAATCCACACTCACAATTGTCATCATTCCAATATCTTTTATCTCAATCACCTCACCATATTGTATTTCCAATTCTTTCAAATAAAATACAACCAGTTTGTAAACTTTGTAATAGAAAGAAACCAGTCAATGAGCTGGCAAGTTCAGATTATTTAAAATCAGAATGGTGCAATTCATATATTCGTTGTAGTTGTCACAAACTCTATACAAATCCTACATAACATAGATGTGCACACCCAACACAGTTAAGATGGGGAGTACAAAGTGCAAGTACAAGGCCTAATATATTGCCAATATACCTGAAGACATGTTTCTTTAATACCATTACGACCTTCCAGTATTCCAGCTTCTTTAATAGGTTCCTAAAAATTTTATTAAAACAATTAAAAAGAAACAAAAAGAAGGTTAATCCATCAAGGAATGGCATACCAAGTCAAGAAAAAAAGGATAAGAAGACAAATTTTACCAGGTTCCTCACTGGAGGGAGACAAACCACAAGGTCAACGTCACTTGTTGGAAGAGACATACCAGTTGCATTCGAACCAAATATGTTTGTCCTGGATCTGGGCCAAAGAACCTGCAGAGATCGGGTAACTCTCTTGACAGCCCAATTAATGTAGGGCCTCCTTGCCATATTTTCTGCAGCAACCTTGGATTCCATCATAATCATAAGTAACATGATTGAAATCTTTTGTCTTGTGGTGATAATATAAAGAAATATAAGGTGTCTACAGATTCAATCACAATTCTATTTTGAAAATTTTTAAACAAAGGACTGGAATGCATATAGGAAGTAATGATGACAAATTAAGGACAAAGATACTAGCACAACCTATGTAAGGTATTCCAAGATCAGGATCATTCAGAAAAAAGCAATAATGGAACAAGGAGTTATCAAAAGGCCTGCAAAGGAGTACGTGAGAAGTGTGCAAGTGTAAGCATGTGTTTGTAACATCACTCACAAAATAAATCCTATACCTGTTTACAGAAAGAGTCAATCTCATCATGGAGAAGGGCATGCATCAAAGATAAAGACGCACTCTGTGCAGAGCAGCTTTGCAACTCAGGAGGTTGCAAAGGAAAGGTGACATCTGGCTGTATAATTAAAAAGCCCACAATGAATAACAACATATATGTATAAAGAATGACTTTAAGTAAGGATCTTTCTTACATGTTCCTGGTCACGGGCTATCTGTGACATTGCAATCAGGCGATCCTGCAGCAAGGCAGCAGGTAAAGGCTGAATCAAAGGTCGCACTGCAAGATTGTTATTTCTCCAAGAAGGCCACACAACTTCAGCACCATCCATTCTCAAACAAGCTTCCTCCAAATTACTTCCATCATGATACCAGCCTCTCATTCCCCAGTGCCTTGGGCTAGAACTACCAGATCTAACTGTTGGAAAACCCCTTTGTTTCCTGGAGTCACTCACAGGGGAGGGTGGGGGTGGACGCGGTGCTCGCGGTACACAAAGCACTACAGGTGATGGTGGCCGCTTTATGCGAGGCTGCTCCCGCCTGGTAGGAGGAACACAAGGGCTTTTATGATCGACACATCTTGACCTTTCCCTTGGCAAATTAGGAATAATTATTGGGCGTAGAATGGGATATGGATGTGAATCGCCTGCCTTACCTTCAATCTCCCCAAGTAAATTATTACCCAAAGAAACAGAAGTATTTTCATCCACTGCTGCATCTGTAACTGATGAAGAATGCAACACCTTTCCAGGTACTACTTCATTACCTGACATCACATAACCAACAGTCTGGGGCCCAGTCCCTACAGGATCGAAAGGAGAACAAAATGTAGCAGCAGTAGGTGAAGTTAAACCATTTGTACTATATGAAGATGAGAAAGCAACCATGTCATCCACTGTCCTATTCATGTCAGCTTCCCGCAAAGCCCATAAACTGTCATCAGAGCTAAGAGAGGGAGGCCGGGAGAAACCTTTTCCAGGATAATCAGAAGGGTTCCAGTACATTATGCCGCCACCAAAATGTTGATTATAATCTATACCAGAAACAGCATGAACCTCATACTCTTCCTCTGATACCCAGTGATTATCAGATTCATCAGCTAGCTCCTGCGTATTTGCTGGATCAGGTAAATCCAATATATCCCCAGAATACTTTCTTTCATCATCAGGAGCTCTTGCATCAACCTGCACACTGTGAACAGCCAACCCTTTTGAAAAGGTACACTGCCACCTAGACATAAAGCCAGAGTCATAATTACAGTTTGGTGATGCGGTCATGCCACCACGAAAAACTGGGGGCCAGTCGAAACTCATAGGAAAAGGCCGAGACAGAATTTGGTTGCATCCTCCTTCAATTGGTGTATTTCCTGCCTGCTGTAATGCGGGAACAAATGAATGGCAGAAGTGATTATGCCAATTGCGCCCAACATCCAGATGCAATCTATCTGTGGCAGGAGGGAGATGTGAGTTAAAAGATGGAAAATAGATAGAAGGTACACCAGGCCACTCATATGGACTGCATTTTGAGAAAGCTGAATTTCTACTTTTAAATAGAGATCTATCTTGCTCCTTCAACAGCCCACATTCTTTTACATTAACCTCTCTAATCGGTTTGTTGGGAACAGTTGACTTTACATCAGCTTCGGCAGCACATATTGAGTTCAAAGGACAAGTATCTTCATTGCCGAAGGTACTATCATGCTTCAATGCAGATACTGATGGAGTTATAGCATTACAATCTACATCACAATTTACAGTATCTAATCCAGAAGACAAAGTTTTCCTTTCATTTGACAAAAAACAACACTGAGTGCCTAAACTATTGCAACTTTCAGCAAGATCTTCAATATTCTCTCCTTCAACTTTCCTGGTAGAACTTTTCTCCTTAGTAGGCCCACTAAGAGAACTACAAAGGCTTGAATTTGAAGCAAGGATGTCATTACCAATTGAATTGTCATTTTTGACATTCTGAATGATAGAACTATCAAAAAATCTATCACATTTTGCCACCTCACCTTCAGGAATAACAGGGGCAGAGGCAGCATCCATAATCGACTTTTGAGAATCTCCAACTGCACTGTCAACAAGGGTATTTTTATTTTTATTTTTATTTTTCTCTTTTCTACTCCTTCTTGAAGTGGTTCGAAGTTTGCCAACGTCCAATCCTCCAGTATAATCCTGATGACAAGTGGCTTGTTATAAACCATTTAAATCTTAAACAAGAAAAATGATCCAGATTAAAGAAAAAAGTTTGCAACCATATTTGCAGTTGATGATGAGCTCCCCAGAGGAACATCAGGAAGTTTTCTGGATCCCACTATATCAGTCTTGTTTTTATTATCCACTATACAATCAATATCCTGGAATATTATCATATGGAACAAATCAGAATTTTAAATTGTAGCATTAAAGCAATAAAACTATTCAGCCATCTCTTTGAATATAGATTAGTACCTTCATTGGGTTTTCATGTGGAATACCATCCACACACATCTTTTGAACAGGATTTTTCCTTTTAGGGTTGCGGGTTCGTCCCTTCTTTTTACGGTTAGAAACACTAAGCTTTTCTTTTGGTTTACCTGATGAAGACTTGTCAAGTTCCTCTTCTAGTAGTTCAAGTTTTGTGCAGTCAAGGGAAATAACCATCAGAAATCCTCGAATTTTTCTTAATATACAATCAGATATTGTACAGACAGAACCCAACGAACTAAAGAAAAGGTTTTCTATATCATAATCACTATTAAGACTAGATGTTATCATCCTATTAACATCCTGAAGCACAAATAAGGAATTAAAGACTCTGGCTAAAGCAGCAGGTTTTTTACAAAAAGTGACTGGTGAAATAACTGTTCCAAATTCTATATCATCAGGAAATGTTGGAATGGTCCTTTGAGCTGACGGAGAATGATTGTATTGCAGTAGTTTATTTGATCCCACAGTGTATAGCCAAATCTCATCCTCAGAGGCACTACTTGCTACTTTCAAAACCTCGCAAGTCTGAAAACTTATGAATCAAAAGTCAGCCTAGTACTTAGAGAAGGCCTCAAATATATTAACCTAAAATGCAACATGTATGAATATACTAACTGATAACAATCCCTGGTATTGTGAAGTCATAAAAACAGAAAGTAAAAAAAATATTCATCATATCCAAGATTAGATAATGAAAAGTAGCTTTAACATACATATAACATGAAGCATCTGGCTGGAATAAAAATTGGTTGAACCAAGTTTTATCCAACATGCAACTGATTTGAAACATCAAATACGTCATTTAGAGATTAGTTTATAAATATTACAATACCTGCAATAGTATCTTTTTAATGAACAAGAAAATGAAAGTTGGAAAAAATGAAAGAGTTTCTCAGCCTTCTATATCATTATACCCTACTCTTTATTTCAGATACTAATTATTATATCTATATTTTCAGATTACTGGCCTAACAAAATGCAATTTTTATACTATTTTGGATAAAATACAACTTCATAATTATCAAATACTATACAAAACTCTATAAGACAAATATAATTCTATAAGACAATCTAATTCTTTTACTGAGAAATTAGCATATTAATTTTGAACCTACGTGCAATACAATACATTAATCTGCAAATATATCTTTAATCATATCAAGCTATCAGCAAATTCAAGGAACCACAATAAGCAGCTTAAACTAAAGTAAGAAAAATGTCCCATTTCAAAACTAAAAGCATATGTGACTATTAAGAAAGTCTCTTCTCTCCTACCCCTTTCGCCCAAACAGGTCAGTAACCCCGCCCACACAAAATACTACTAATTAGCCACCCATGACTATAAAGTTTAGAATATATTTTATAATTAACATCATCAGTACCAGTAAACACCAATAGTATCTTTCACTAATGTTCATACATCAGTTAAGCTTAAAACAAAGGAAAAAGGAAGTTGCTTTCCGATCCCAAAACCATGGAAGCACATGCTTCTTAACATTGTAAAAATTTCCTTTTAAAGAAAGAAACAATTTTTTAGAATTATAATTACTTTCTGGTATAACTGTCAAAGCATGTATAATAGCATATAATGGTGCGTCACTCTTTTATTAGTTTTCGCTTGTAGTGAAAAGTGGATAACAAAATTTAGACTCCCTCACATCATCTGTCCAAACTATGTTAGGCGGCCAAATTTTGACAATTTAATGGATCCATTAAAGTTTATACTTATAAGCAATATATGCCACAACATAGTAATCCCATGTTGAACTATTCCAATGGACATCATCCTCTAATACAATGTACCATGTTGAACTATTCCAATGGACATCATCCTCTAATACAATGTATCCCGTTAACATCCAGTATCAATCTTTCCAAACCATCTCGTTAACATCTTCCATGAACCTTTTTATTTTTTTTCAAAATGGAAAAATGTTAAACAGGGAGCATGAATTATGCAATTTACACTAATATTCACCATCATATTAATAGTTTTAAAAGTTCCCAAAAAAAGTACCAAAGGTTTTGCAGCTTTCATCATGATGGTTGACAAAACCTTCTTCCTTGTCACAGCATCCAAATTCCCCCACCAGTCCACGCAACCTTTCTTCCTCCAAAACACATTGGTTGCGACACCAGCCCCATTCAACTTCTCCTTCAATTTCACACCCCTCTTCCTCCCACCACTGCTGTTCAACCAAGCCAACCTCATCGAAACCTCGATCCTATTCGCGAGAAAAGCCTCCACGCCATAATATCCTTTCGATTTCAGCCAATTCAGCTCAACCCAATCCGCCCCAAGCTCAGTCTCTTCCCCTCTCAGGAACCCCCCATTGGAGATCCAGTCCATGGCCTCCACGAACCGGTTCATGTCCTCCACGAGGCCCTCGGCGACAGTCATGGCGTCGAGGCTCCTAGCCGAGCACGAGCAGGCAGCGACCTCCTCCCCTTCCCGTGACTCGAACAGCCGCGCGGAGTCCAAGAGCAACCGCTCCGCGCCGCCATTCGAGTCGGCGGCAGCGACACGGGCGAGGAGGCCGCGCGACTTCTTGAAGCAGAGGGTGGGGAGGAAGGGCGGGTCACCGGAGGGGAGGTCAGGGAGGAGGATAAAGCAGCCATGACCGTGAGCTTGAAGCTTCGCGATCATCTGGAGAAGGATCTGAACGAAATCGGAATCCACAATGGTGAGGTGAGCTTGGCGCTGGTGAATTGAGAGAGAGGAGAACCATTTGAGGATCGAGATTCTCGGGTTAGCGTTAGGGTTAGGGTTAGGGTTTGGAATTTGGGAATGGTAGAAGGAAATGTGTGAGGTGAGCGAGTCCATGAGTTGACGGTGAGCCATGAGAGCGAGTTAGCTCAGAAATGTTGAGAATGAAAATGAGAGAGAAGAATTCTAATTTGATTTGGGAATTTTGGAGGTTTTTTGGGTTTCAGCAATTTACAGGGATCATGTTATTGTTATTTGTTAGTGAGTGAATTTCCTTTTGTTTCGTTACCTTTCACACAATTTAATAACATTTGCTTTTCCGTTTCTTTATGGTCCTCAAGGGATTTATTATATTAAAACTGGAGCGTGTTTATTTTCTTTACTTGCAAGCAAAAATGAACTAAGCATGCACGAGTACGTTGATTATAAATATATAACACGAGGTAATGCGAAACTATATACACTTATTAGATAAAAAAAAATGTTATTAAAATATGATATTAATATTTTAATATTGTAGAAAATAAAGTATCTCTTATATAGGTATAAAGGTGTGTGTCATGTTTTAATCACATAATCCCATATATTTTTATGTATGTAAGAGATATTTTTATTTACTACAATCCAAGAAACATTAATAACTTAAAATAAAGGGAAAAAGTGTGTATAATTTTGAAGGATGTAAAGTTGTGTCATTTTAAGTGAGAGAAAAAGATAGATAAAGGAGGAGAGAGGATAAACAAAAAAATATAAAAGTGTGGGTCTCACCTCTTTGTGAGAGTGAAAGAATATAAGTTGTGTCATTTAAAAAGATAAATATTTTTCCCTAAAATATATTACAACGGTTACAAAACTAGTAATTAGGTAAGAGTATTTCAGAATTCAAATTGGGTTGCGGGACCTATGGTTAAGGTGGTTAGTATTATTTATAAATTTAAATTTATACAAACTTCTAAGTTTAAATATTATTTATAAATTTTTGTGTGGTTAGTATTATCATTGATGATCCCCTCAAAATTTATGAAAATCTTTAATTATGATACTATGTATTTTTATTAGGAAAAAGTGTTTGTCATTTTAAATAATATTAAGTTATGTCATTTTAAGAGAGAGATAGACGCAAGAAAATATTTTTTTATTTAAAATTTAAATTAAAAAAAACTACACATTTTCTCTCCCATGATTTTCATTCTTTGTGTCTATCTCTTTCTTAAACTGACATAACTTATGTCATTTGAAATGACAAACACCAAATCTTTTTTTTTATCGTATAAATGGTTATAGTTTTAAAGAAAAATATAATGCCGTTCATTTTCGGGTTGCCGTCCTATGATTACTTAGGGGGGTGTATTGGATTAGGATTTTAAAAGACTTTTTTGAGATAAAAAATCCTACAGATTTTAAAAGACATTTTAGAATTAGAGAGACTTTATAGACTTTTTTTACAATCAAGATTTCATAGGATTGGATTTTAAAGGATTTTAATAGAATTCATGAGATTTGAAAGGACAATATGGATTTATAAGATTTTAAAAAACTATATGAACTTTTAAAGAATATTTAAAATTACAAGAGTCAATAAAAATAAATAACAAAGAAATGCAATAATATTAATAAGAAAAAGTAAACTTAACAACGTGTTGAAAATTATCTCAAAAATTACTAAGCAACAACTCTCCACATATCAATAAAATCTAATATAATTTTCTCAATGAGTTTAAGTTTGATTTGCGAAAATAATAACCATATATCAACGGTTATGTAACACCCTCCCTTGTATGCATCCAAGAGAGTTGTTTGCTAAGCGGAATTAGAATTTTTGACATCATTTTAGTGTTGCTAATTAAAGCTATTAATTGAAACCAAGTTCCTTACAAAAATCAGAGTATATTTCTTAAGTTGCTGAAAATATTATTTTCCTGGTAGACCTTGCTGTCTTTAAAAATTCGTATAAAATCAGTTTCGATGATTCAAAAAAATATTCCATATAATCTAGAAAGAGCATGTCTGGGGTTTCGCGTGCATATAAAATAATAGTAAATCAGAGTTCGTTTGCCCCTTGTAACATAACTCGCAAAGTGCTCGCAAAACTGTTTGAAAATCAGCACTTAATAAAACGTCAGAAATTATTTTCGCAAAACGTTTCTAGAACTTGTTTCCAAGGTACTTGCTGATCATAAAAGTCTGAAAACAGTAATAAAATCATAGTTCAACAGTAATCCAAACTTCTCAAAGTAATACAGTCATCCATCAATTAAACAGCAACAGCAAAAGTCCAAACAACAAATATCCATAAAATCTTGTCCTCAAATGCTTTTGCGTCCTCCTGCAATTTTATAAAGATTGCAGCCCCTAAGGGGTGAGAAAAATTCCAGTAGTGTGATAGCAAAACCAATAATGTAACAGTATTAAACTAAGCACAAAATTATAAAACAGTCGCATCATCATTTCATTTTCCTGATAAATCTTAACATTTCATAGTGCGTATATAACGTCATCATAAAGTACGTCATAACACCGTCGTGCACGTACAACCTACACAGTGGATATTCCATAATGGCTCCCTCAAAGGTGAATTCCAACTGTGGCCTATGCGGACAGAAGCCAAGTGTCCCATACACTGGTACCGAAGGGATGCTTATATGATGCGTACTCAAACGAATGCATATTTATATAGATATTATTATTAGTCAATGCGACATGAAATTTATGCACGTATGACATGCTATGCTTTCACACGCCAACAGAAAAATGGATGCGGTATGATGTAATTGTGCATGACTAAATCATAACATATTCTTCAAGCTGCCATATAACAGTTTTACCTCATAACAAAATTACCATCAAGACATAGGCAGAATACTTTCATCATAAATGACAGAAGAATTGTTAGGCACATGCGGCAACATGTCGCAATTTTATACACTAGTTAATAGTCACATTAGGTAATATCACCTAACACTTACCTCGCACATCACAATTAATTTACCAGGCAGCAGCTAAAATGATCCAAAGTCTCACAAAATACGTGCACCTATATATACAAGTGCAATCCAATCAGAATACTTCTAAGCTATTCCTCATAATTTACCAACGAGTTTTCAAGTTTAAGATTTCATGTACTCATTCGGCCACGCCTTGGCTATTTTCCCAAGAATATTCTGACATTAATTTAAGCTTTACCAACGTTAAACAGCGAGGATTTCTAATGTTCCCCACCAAGGCAGATTCGGTTATGACACAAAAATTATACAAGACTTTATTCATAAATTCCTACTTCTCTACTCAAGATGCGTAAAGAGGGAAGCCTATTTATCATACTGTCTAGTTAGTTTAAAAGGAACTTAGTACACACCAAGGCCCACCAAAACAGAATGGGTTTTATCATACAAAAGCTCATGACATTAATTTATTCGAAATGTAGCTCAACAAGAGCAAGGGTGGGTGAAGAGTAGCCTAATTAACCACAAGCTGCATTTTAAATTAGAATAGGACTTAGCTCATATCCAAGTTTACCAAGTGAGAATCGATTTTAAACTAATCAAAGCATCAAAGATAATTTACTCTAAAGCTCAACTAATCCATGTATGGTGCGCTTCAAGAAGGTTTAAGCATGCTGTCCTTAATATTCTAGTTCATGCCAAGTTCAAAACATACAAGGTACAACTAAAGAGCCCTTTAAATTATTTCAAGATCATTTATAAGTTTATTTTTCATGCTCTCCATCTAGAGTCCAGCGGTTTATTAAGACAGAACCTAGGAGATATAAATTTTCTGGACAAAACTTGCTAAGGATGCATTCATTACTCGGCCAAGGGGTTTCAACAAACAAAATAATCCAGCCTTCCTAAGATACAATAAAACCGAATAGCAAGAACACAAGGGGATATGGGAAGTAGGCTTCGACCAACAAGAGAAGGAGAGGAAAACGCTGCACTATGCTTGCTTCTTGCTCATGGAGCTCTCGATTTGCAGCAAGGAAAAGGAGAGGATAGCAATTGTAATTTTTCTTGGTGTCTCTACCTCACTAAGGTCACGGTGTTTAGGGAGGAGAGGGTTGGGTGAGTTCTTTGGTTTGATGAAGTAAACTTAGTCCTCAACTTACGCTCCCACACAATCAGCGCCTATGGTAAGAAGGATGAGTGTTTGAGCTGATATAAAAAGCCATAAAGGTTCAGAATATACTAGACTCCCTCCCCTTCTAGCGCACAAGGAAGCAATAAAGAGGGTGAGAGATTTCTGCCCCAATAGAGTTACATGCAATCTGACTTACACTCCTCCTTGTAGGCTGCATGCAATAAAGCTGGATAATTTTTTAAAATAAAGCTGAATGGTTTGGTATAGAACAACAAGCAAGGTCAGCTTTTTGTCTCCTCTAGGTGCATGCATGTGAGTAAGGAATGGAGAGGGCTTATTTGAATTGTTTAGAACAAGGTTAAGGAAAAATACAAAAGTTGGGCTTAACCTTATCAAACCTCAAGGCCCTACCTAAGGCTTCGGCCAAGCAAGGATTTTGGGGACCAAAATACATAAGCCCATAAATGATACTAATTTAGATGCTAACCCATAAAATTATAACTCCCCACCCCATGTCTTTTAAGTCTTTTAATTATTTCTAATTCTCCCTATATATTACTACTAAATTATTCCTGTATCTTTTAACTAAAATTTCACATGCCCAAAATAAATCCTCACCTATTATCATAATTCAGTAATTCCCTAACTCAACATTAATTCCATACTAATAGCTATATAATCCGAAATCAAAGCATGCTTTGCACATAACTCCAATTTAACATGAGTATCAATTCCTCATAACAATTATGTATTTTACTAATCACGTGGGATGTTACAGGTTAACTTCCAAATTAAATATTAATTAATGAGTTTGATTTGTGAAAATAATAACCATTGATTGACGGAAATCAACACATAAGATATGGTTGTAAAATGTTATAAACAAAAATAGATCGTAAGTATAATATTCCCCACAAAAAATAACAAAGCGATGCAATGAAATTAATAAAAAAAAGTAAACCCTAATATAATTTTCTCAAGAACTATTGGTTTGAAGATTTTAGTTCCTCTGTTATTTTTTCACCGTTTTATGTTGTTTTTAATACAAAAATGACACGTTTTTGTTTCAAAAAAAATCGCGACCCATAGCTTGAAAAATTACTTTTTAAACTTCTTAAATTTCTCAAAAATGGCTCAAAAATATGTTATTTTTGAGATAGATTATATTAAAATCTTGTTGGTTTGTTGTTTTGTGATGAAAATCGCTCAAAAATATGCTCTCTTTTTTAGTTTTGATGAAGCTCCCATGGCGGAACCTAATTTCGAGCAGTCAACCTGTCAAAGGAAGAAGAAAACATTGCAATAGAAGAATCTCAAGAAATTGACTGGTTTGAATATTATTGCGTAAAATCGGCAAGTGCACCGATCGTACCAAGTAATAAAGAGTGAGTAGAGTATCGTCTCCACGAGGATTGAGGCACCTAAGTTGTTATAACTATTCCTCTCTTGTTGGATTAATCAAAATAGGTTGAGAATGATTGTAGTTCATTAAACAAACTAAAACAATTAAAGTAAAAATGTAAATGATTCCAAAAGTGCTTTCAGAATGCAAGAACAAAAGATTAAGGATGGAGAAAATATTTGAGAAAATATTGCGGTAAAGAGAAACAAACACATTTCCGATCCCCACCTTGCAACTTGAATTACGTTTACATTTACCTATTCAATTGATCGAACAATTCATCATCTTTTATATGGGTAGTTAAGCCCTAATCCCTTAGTGACTTTAACCTTGTTAACTCTATTAGAATCCTAATCCCTTAGAAATCCCTTTTCGAGTTAACCCTTAGAATCAATTAACCTTTAACGTTCGCTGTTCATATAGCCTATTCCTAGTGCGTACATGAACAATTATCTTATTCTTTGTCAGGAATTAGAATTCCAACATCCCTATCGAAAACCCTAACCCTCGTAATCCTACTAGATTGATCAATTCCAATAGAATTATAAAATGAAGAACAAGAAAAGATAAACTCAATTAAAATAGATAAACATAAATTTCAACCAAGGTACAAGGGGTTCACATCAAGGGTTGTGACCCTTACCACAATGATAAAACTAGCCAGACATGTTCATGTCTGACAAAATAACAATAAAATAAAGTAGCATTTAAAACCTAGAAGAGAAAGGGAAGATGAACATCTTCCGTCTTGATCGATCGAATCCTTGAATCTCCGAGAAGCTCCAAGGAATCTCCGCTCTCTTTGTTGTTTTTCTCCTCTTGATTCTAAAAAAAAAAAGTTTCTTCTTCCTCTGTTTCTGATCCTTTTATTAGGTTTTGGGAAAACCTATGTTCACTTGCACTCCAATTGGGCCTTACTTTGGCTGATTCGCAATAAAAATTATATCGCCCACGCACGGGGCGCCAAGCCTGGCGCCCCAAACTTGGGAGAAACAGAAGTTGAATCCGTAAATGGCGCCCCGAGCGCCAACTCTCGCGCTCCGCGCGCCAGGTTGGCGCGCCGTGCGCCACATCTCGCGCTCCGTGCGCGTCCGAAACAGAAGCAAATCGTCAATTAGGCGCCTAGTGCGCCAGATACCGCGCCCCGTGCGCCAGATACCGCGCCCCGTGCGCCACATTCCGCGCTCCGTGCGCCACATTCCGCGCTCCGTGCGCGGCCGAAACAGAAGCAAATCGTTGATTAGGCGCCTCGTGCTCCAGGTACAACGCCCTGTGCGCCAGTTTGGCGCGCCGTGCGCTAACCTTCGAGCGTCGTGCGCCAGCGGGAAATTTGGTTTCTCCGTTTTTGCTCCTTTTTGCGGCGTTTCCTGCTATTTAACATATAACTTGAGTGTGAGCATGATTGAGAAGGAATAATCAATATTTCTTGCATTTAATGACTATTTTCACACATTTATGATTAAATCCTTGCTTCTTTCAAGTTAGAAAACATCATATGCTAGATGCACATCAAATATTCATCTTGGTGATGCCTCGTTTGAATATTCATTGAGATGGATGCAAATAAAATATTATCCATCTTGGTTTGAATATTTGTATTTATGAAAAAACGAGGCATTTTTAAATACAAATATGCAATAAAGTAAGAATCTTTTCTGACAATTTGATAGAGAAAATAAATATATTCAAACCAAGATGGATAATATTTTATTTGCATCCATCTCAATGAATATTCAAACCATAAAAAGAGCATATAGCAGCATCATATAAATCACCTCCACCGTAGTCGTACCCATTTTACAATTCAATCATTTTCATTTCCCAAATCCATGGCCATTTCAAACTCTCATCATGCTGCACTTCTAAGTTCACCAGGAATGGGTCATATAATCCCCATTCTAGAGCTAGCAAAAAGCCTAGTCACTCACCACATCATTCCCAAAGTAACATTATTTCTTGCTTCAATCAAAAGCACTGTTCCATCCAAAGCAGAGACCCATGTTCTCCAATCTGCCATAAAGGAAAACCTCTTTGAAATAATCCAACTTCCCCCACTTGACATCACCAAGTCACTTGGCTCAGATGCCACCATAGAAACAAGAATAGGACTCATAATGCATGAAATCCCACCACTCTTTCTCTCAACAATCTCCAACATGAAACTCAACCCAACCATCCTCATCACTGACTTTTTCCTAAGCCAAGTTATACCTCTGGCCAAGAATCTCAAAGTGCCCATGTATGCTTTTGCACCAACAAATGCATGGCTCCTTGCACTTGGTCTTTATACTCCTACATTAGACAAAGAGGTGCAAGGACAATATAACGAACCTATCTCAATCCCAGGTTGCAAATCCATACATCCTAGTGATTTGTTCGAAATGTTGCTGGACAGGACACATCCGCTGTATCACGAATATCTTGGCACGTGTGAAGGGGTAACGTTTTTCCCATTTATAATATAGTTTTCTTAGAATGAATTTAGTTTTTCTTATTTTTATAAAAAAACGAGCAAAGTCAATGATCGACGTGAGTTACAACATTTAAGCACTTGATTCCAAGAATTTTGTATTCACAACATTCGTTACTTCTAATTCCATTAAGAATTGTGAATGATTTTAATTAACTATATAGATATAGTATTTCAAATTTATAGGATTATTGGATCAAGTGGCAATTCCTTAGAATATCAACCATCATGTCTTTTCCTTGGAGCATCAAGAATCATGGTCTTCAACCTAAAAATTAAGGTTCTAATTTTTTCATGTGATCCTATTCAATTTATAATTTATTTTTGCTTAATTATAGGTAACACAGGCTGATGGGATCCTTGTTAACACATTTAACGAGCTAGAACCTAAAACACTGGCAGCACTCAGCAGTGGACAAATCACGAAGGTGCCAGTGTATCCAATTGGGCCATTGATAAGGGAAACAAACCAAAACAATGATGAGGAAAAGAGAAGTGATGTTCTTGATTGGCTAGACAAGCAAGAAGAAGAGTCAGTGATATATGTCTCATTTGGTAGTGCATACACAATGTCACAAGAGCAAATCAAAGAGATGGCTTTAGGATTGGAGCTAAGTGGGAAAAAATTTGTTTGGTCTTTGCGTTCATCATCTGCAATAAAACCTGGCAATGAACACTACCTCACAGCAGGTGAGTCTATTGAAACTCCTAGTGTGTCTAAACTTGAAGAGTCAAGTTCTTTTCCAGAAGAGTTCTACAGAATACAAAACAATGTGTTTGTGATCATAGATTGGGCACCCCAGTTGGATATTTTGAAGCATTCATCTATTGGTGGGTTTGTGTCTCATTGTGGATGGAACTCAGTGATAGAGAGTGTTTCATGTGGGGTACCAATGGTTGCATGGCCACTCTATGCAGAGCAAAAGATGAATGCTGCAATGTTAGCAGAGGAAGTTGGTATTGCAGTTAGAATAGAGGTTCAACTGTCTAATACCAACATGGTTAGGAAGGAGGATATAGTGAAAGCAATAAGGAAGATAATGGATAAGGATGACAAAGAAGGATGTGCTGTGAGGAAAAGGGTTAAGGAGCTTAAGCACATAGCAGAAGAAGCTTGGTCTCATGATGGTTCCTCCTATTTTGCACTTTCAAGAATCAGTCTCTCAAATGGTGAGTGATAACTTATTGGGATACTGAAAAGAAGTACTCTTTGGTAATAAAAAAAACAAATAAAATTCCGTTTTAGAATAAATAGCTGTTTACATTCTGTGACTTTAATTTTTGTTTTTTACTTAGTCATTTGGTTTGTTAATTATTATGCTTGGGTTAGAATGAGACTTGAATTATTGTGCAAATAAATTAAATTATATTGTGGTACGTTAGCGAAGATGATGAGGGTTAATAACTATTGAAAGGATATTATTTTGGATATTCATTTGGAATTTCGAATGTCAATGTATTTTGTGCCAGCTACTAATCAAAACAGATCAACTTGGCAGCATACTGTGGACCATAAATGTATGCTTTATAAAGACCATGTGCTGCTTCCAAAAACAAGAGTGCTGGCTATTATTTATGAAAAATAACCTCATGCGTGGTTGAAATTGTTGCAGCTTTTCATTTATGAAATTTATATAAAACTGCTCTATGCTGCACAGAGGTAAGTACATATTAGTTGGGATTTAAGATATTTTTAAAGTACCACAATGCAAGCGAAAACTTGCTTTTTATTTATTTATTTTCTAAATACCGATTTAAATGATATTGAGAAAGAGGTGTATTTCTCATGCTACATGAGATAGTATTATCTCATGTAGAGACATAATTGGGTGGGTCCTATGGTTAAAAGAAAAAAAAAAATGCTGGCTCGGATTGCGATGTGTCTACGACATGAGATAAAAAATTTTATGTAACTTGAGAAAAACATTTCTCTTCATTCAAATAGTATATGTGCTTAATTTCGCTTAAGTAAATGGTGGAAATCGACACACATAATTGAAATAAGAAAAATTAGAAAGGGAAGAGAAATTGATTTAGAAATCCTAACAGCAGCTATTCATGAACTCAAGTCCAAATTATTAAGAAAAAGAAAATAAAATGCCATAGGCCCATAACAGTACGACCAACAAGGGTGAGCGCGATCCCAATTGACTTCCTGTTGACCCCACCAACAAGGGTGCTTATATGAATGTGAAGTATGAGTCATATCCAACAGTAAAATCTTGTGTTCAAGTTCTTGCAAATATAAAAAAATTCATTTAGGAGAACTAGCCCATCAATTCACCATGATGTTGATGTTTTCAATTCTAACAAAATTGTCTCCTATAAAAAATACTTGTGATTAAAAGAAGAAGAAGTAGGAATAGTGCAATGTTAAGTGTACATTATATTCATATGAATGAGTAAAAGTTGGTAGTGTAATAAATTTTGAATTGGCGAATTTGATCCCATTTAATGACTCTTTGGATGCACTTGATAGCTACATGTTACCAACATAGGTCGGTCACGTGTGACTTATGCCACCAACCTTTGATCACAGGCAAGCTAGGCAGCATATTTTCAGCTCCACTAAAATATGTAATAAATTTGTGTTCTAATATCAATCAAAACGTGAGAAATTTAGCAATAATATTTTTTCCTTCATTGAATTAAGTAGTTAGTTGTTGCTCGGTCACGTGTGACTTATGCCACCGACGAATTGAGTAATTGCTACATCAGTCGTTTAACCATTTCACCCCTCTCTATAACACTATAAAAATCATTGTATTGTCTCTAGAAAAAAATATCTTCATAGTATCCCAGTAGTACTACTGAAGAGCATTACTTACTAAAATTGATAAAATTAACGTACTTAATCTAACAACCTTAGATTATTAATCGAGAAACATTATATACATACATTAAACTCTAATTATACACATACATTATAACGAAAACTTAAAATCTAAGTTTATAGAAAATGACTTCATTCTGAAATGTCAAAATATAAATCATCAAACCGACATAGGAGATTAACTCATCCTTGCAAAATGCAAATACCACAATCAAAATATAATTATAGAATAATACGAAATTTCACAACTGAGCAGAGTGAGAGTATGTGTTCGATTCTCTTCAATATCAATTTTAGAATAGGTTTAAAGCCTTAATCCTGAATCCGCTCCAAACAGAATTGCCTCTCATGAAAGATACATGTAGTTTATCCAAAAAAAAAAAATCACAACTGAATATAAACACACTGACTATGTTGGATAACATTTTTACCTTAGACACCATAACATCTACTTTAGGCTATCATCCACATCTGAAAACCCACACTTAGTGAGATATTTATCCTAGTAAAGATAACAATTAAAAAAGTTTTCATAAAAATATAATGTTTCCAACGATAACTTAGTACAGAAAAATTCTTTATGGTTTTAATTTAATAATGTTAACATCATAATATTTTAAAGGGCATATTTACTCTCATGTTGCATGAGAGAAAAAAATCTTATGTCATAGACACATAGTAGTGGGGCCCACAACCTAAAAAATAAAAAGAAAACAAAAGAAAAATGTTGCACGGTTATCGAATGGTGTATAGGAAGGAAAACATACCTTATATAACATGATAATAGTTTTTCCCTATTTTAAAATAGTTTAACATTACAAATATCAAGACATTTTCATAAGTATGCATTTTTCTCTACTGATAATAAAATCAATTATGAGATTGAACTATAAAACTTAGGTTATATGATTTAATTCTTGTAAGAGTTGGGTTTGAACTTTGGTAATGGATTGAGTCTAAATTATTGGTATAAGGCCCAAAATAAGCAAATAACAAAATAACTTGAGAGAAAATATGGTATTTACAATACTCTAAAAGAAGTGAAAGAAAATCAAAACTGAAAACCTTCTAAGCGATATGGACTACATATTTTGATGATGACAAAGTGTTTATAAGAAGTCTCAAATTGAAAATGGAGCTTGAAGACATAAGTAGTTAGATTTTTAGATACACACTATATTATATCACATAATGTTTCTCTAACCTCCATTGCATTATATGCATTTTATTTTCATGTGGCTTCAAAAAGAAGTGAATGGAAAAGAAAATCAAGTCTTCGTCATTCTGAAACGCTGATTCTAATTTTTCTTCGAGAAAAATCTGATTCTTAATGTGAGATCAAATCCCTTGAATCAAAAATATTTGGAGCTATTTACGGTATATTTAAGAAACTTAAATCTTCTGTGAATCTTTGATTTGAAGATTTTAATATGAAATTTTCAGATTTATTAGTTCATATGCTTTAGGGATTTTGAGTAGTATAATCTGAAAATTAAATCTCGAGTTATTCATTGGTTTAGAGATTTATTATTAAAATTATAAATCTGATTTTTTTTATTTCACCGTAGCATATTCTGAATCATTCAAATTCTTTTGTTGATCATAAATTAGAAGCTTAATCTTGAAAAAATCCAGATTCCTTATTGCGCTAATTTTAGAGATTTTGAGACATATATCATCAGTTTGATTTTATGCATTAATAATAATTTCTTAGAGCTTAGTTTGATATTACCATGATATATTTGGTGTGATAGGACATTGTATTGGTTGAATATTTTTCTGTTTTGACAAGTCTGAAAATTTTGTTTGGTGTTCTAAAAGTGAGGTAGTTGTGTGTGAAAAATCTGTCTTAGGTGTGTGAGTGCCACCGAGTGGATTGGCTATCTTGTGCTTAGCTTAAGAGTGTGTCTCAAGGCTTGGAGCCTCAAGAATCCACAAGGGAGTGTTGAGTTCTTGTGTGAGGGGAGTTGGTGAACTCCTAGGTTCGTCTTGAGAGAATTCCTAAAGCTTGGAGCATTTAGGCACTAATAAGATTTTTGATATTTTGTCGGATTGCCAATATGACTCATGTTTGTAAAGCGGTACATTTGAGATCAAAAAAATATCCTTGGCTACTTCAGTCTGGACGTAGCATCCCTTTGCAAAAAAGGAGTGTGAACCAGGATATATTGTGTGTCTTTGTCTTTCTGATTTAATTTTTGAATATTCTGTTTTGAGACTAAAAGTAACACCGTTTCTGGTTAGTTATATTTCTGATGTAGCAATTTTCTATTATATTTCTTAAAGTGTTGTAGCACCTTATTGATTTTGATATAACTGTTGTAGCACTTAAACTGTTTTTCTAATATTTGGAAGTTATTCATTTTCTAGTTTCTGTAAGAAAGCTTGTTGTTGTGTTTGCTTTGTAAAATAAAAGGTCAGATATGTTTTCTATTGATATACATCATATAGAAATCATTTTGGGTATATAGGGACCTAAGGTAAAATTAGTAAAATTATTATAATTGTGTGATTGTTATCTGAAGTGAATTTGCAAAATAATTTGACAACGTCAACAGTCAATCTTGTCGTGTTGGTGTATTACTTTGACTATTTAGTTAAACTTTGTCTAGATATATCAATTTTGTAATCTACTTGTAAAAATATTTTTGAAAATTTTTGAGAACATCTGTTCACCCCATTTAGGTATTCCTTAACATAGTCATGTAAGGAAGCTACTTGCCCAACAAAAACTTCTTGAAATATCACTTAATTCTTGTCTAAGTTACTTAAGATAAACATATGTTTTTTAAAAATTAAATTTATAAAATGATAATTTTGAATTATTTCCAACTAGCAATAGGAGAAGAAAATATATCTTAAAAGCTTAAAAAAAAAAAAAAAAACTTTCACACACACACACACATATAAGAGCGTATGTTTCTCGCATCTACCTGTACTACTTCACGCCTCAATAAACTAACCATGTGTTGTGGGCTCAATGGGGAGTTTACCCATCTTTTGGATATAGAGTGGAATACAGTATTCTAAGGCCCATAGCCATTTCTAACTCTGAAAAGGAAATAAAATACTAAATACAGCAACAGTATTAATTTTGCCATTCAATTATGTAACCGTACACTAGATATAGTTGTGCGCAAGTATATTCTATGGGTTTTGATTTGCTTATTATAACTAGATAAAAAAACATATCATAAACATAGTGGTAGGTATGGGAAGATATTTTACATTTTAAAAATTGAGTTTATAGCTAAAACTTTTATTAAATTCCAAATTTTGAAAGCACTAGAGGTTGGCGGTATCAAATAAACAGGTCTTAGTCTTGTTTTGTTTTTTGGGCTTTTCCCCTTCTTGTTACTAAAAAAAATAAAAAAATAAACAGGTCTTGGCATGTTTTTGGTAGGCATCAAACAATGCATTAGACATGCCATTCAGTCCAGTGCATATGCAACCATATTGTCCCATTAATACCTTGCACAAGTCTTTGCAATAGTCTCTTCTTCATGCTCCTATGGTCTTTCTAGTTTCACAAATTCCGAACTCATCTCTCGCAGTACTGATGTTACCATTGTTGCAAAACGAAATTAGACCTCAAGATTGTCTGAGAGAGAAATTGTTTTCTTTTAATATTTCACTAGTTCGATTCGGGACGGGTCTCGGATTAAAATTTTAAACTCCTCTCAAAGATAATACTGGAGAGGATCGAACAACTCCCTGCTTAGTTCTCTGACCAACTAAGCTACTATCATTTGGTGAGACAGAAATTGTTAAACAAATTTTTTTTCACAAATTCTTTGAGACATATTTAACACTTTTCTCTAGGTTTAATTCGCGCTACAAATAAAAAAAATTGTATATAAACGGATAGTGACAAAATTTCATGTAGGATAAAATGAACAATACTTGATGAGTTTTGCACCACCGTGATTAAATCTACAACATCAATGATATTTAATAGAATGTTAAATTCTCTATATTGCTGCTTATATACAAAAGAAATTGAGAAAATGATTTGAACCAAACCTATTTAATTGATCTAGATCTTAACTTTCCTATGTAACGTGACATAATATAACCATGTAATTACCCTTGGTTTCAAATGACACAAAATAAGGTACATGCTTCCCTTATCTCCTAGGTATGTCTTTTCCTGCTTCATTTTGAAATGTTCTACACCTGGATAAATTGATCTGATCCTAATAAAAGAAATCAAGCAAATTGGGTGAGTCTAAGTATTCTGGAGAGGTTACATTGGTCTAATTTATTGGGTCAGCTACTAAAATTTATATAAAAAGTTACACATTTACACCATTATATTTTTAAAGTGAGATTTTTAGATCCACTACAGAGAATCTTACTCCCGTTGCACAACACATCTTACACCTCATGTATAAGGTGAGTGTGTTTGTCTCATACCTAGTGAGACCCACAAGAGTAAAATGATTATATCTCATTTTCTCACTCATCATTAGATAATCTACTCGATCTACATATACCCCTCTTCATTTATAAAAGAGATAAATTTGTACACACAAGCTATAGAGCTATTATGCTGCTGAATTCTCTTCACACAGAATCATCATACCCAACATATTTCCCTTGATTCTCAGCCTTCACCTAAGATACTATTCACGATGACTCTTCATTAAATTAAGAGTAAACATCATTTTTGGTCCCTAACAAAAAATACGGTCTCCACTTTAATCTCTTACAAAAATAAATTAGTCAGTTAGTCCCTAACAAATTCAAAGTGGACCTATTTTAGTCCTTTTGAGGGACTAATATGGGTCTTTTTTGAATTTGTGAGGGACCACGATTTCAACTAAATGGATCCACTTTGAATTTGTTAGGGACTAACTAACTAATTTATTTTTGTAAGGGACTAAAGTGGAGACCGAGTTTTTTGTTAGGGACTAAAAAAGGTATTTACTCTTAAATTAAACTTAGGTTTATACCTTTATCTCATATATCACTGTTACATTTACATACTAATCTCATTAGGGGAAACAAATCAATCTCCATCTCCATCACCCTTATACTTTACTAAACAAACTCATATAAAGCGACCTCTATGGATAATCGTACAATATTATGAACGCAATATTGTAAAGTCGTATAAGTATCATTTTACTCTGCCGAATATACTGAAATATCCCTTTGACATATTCCCTAGAATAGGCTACGTTGTGTACCACTGAAATTATCTTTGTAAAAAGGACTTGTCTTGTTCTTCCCTTCCTTAATTACTTTCCGTTTATTGTTATATTTGTTTCAATTTTATAACTTAAAAGGAACAATGAGCATTGGTTCCCTTATTTTACTTTTAACCACTCCAATTCAATTGGTAGAGGAAGCCATAATCTTCTGTAGTGATAGTAACTTCATCACAAAGATAACTTGGCAAGGCTATAACCATGTTCCTTATGGAAATTAAGAAAGCCAAATAAACCAAACCCAATACGACAAGAGCTGCAAAATCTTAAACGTTATATAGACGACGTGCCATTTGTGCCCAAATAAACAACCCAACACCGTGACCCAAAAAAGTTGGGTGATCTTTAATAGTCATGGCCCACTTCAAGAATATAAAGCATTTTTTAAAAAAATGCCTTGTAGCTCAAAATCCACATATTCCTAATTTGGTTCCTTCCACAATAGCCAAAGTCCCATATATTACTCCTACTTTCATAATCATGAATGCACATTTTTCCATTTCCATGGGCGATTCTTCGAAGATTCCAAGGAATCATCCTATCTCCCTACATCCCGCATGACCCCTTTTACCCCTACTTCAACAACATTTTCATTCTTGACAAGCCAACGCAATCTCTTCCTTCTACATCACGCATCCAATTTTTTTATTTTTTTTTAAATATAATATAAAACTATTAACCTGATTTTCACCTAATAATTTAAATTTTTAGGTTAAAATAATTCTTTATATGATATCAAAGCTATGATCAATGTTATAAAAACTGGACCGATTCGGCAGGATCAACCCGAAAATCGATGAACCAGTCATATAATCGGTCTAATTTTCATATTGGACAGGCCATGTAATGAAACTGGTGCGACTTGATCGATTTTTGTAAAAGATGACTAAGTCGGTTCAACTAGTGACCCAGCTCAGTTCATAAAAAAAATAGTTTGTTCTCATTAATTGATGCCTTTCTTTTTTTACTTTCACATACAAATGATTTGTTTTCTTTTGAAATATTTGAGTGATTTGTTGTTTATTGAATTACATAGGTTATGTACCTATAACACTAATTATTATCTTGGTTATGCAATATGCAGTGAATTTTGATTTAATTTAGAGTAAATACCCTTTTTGGTCCTCAGAAAATTTCATGAGGCCCATTTTAGTCCCTAGCAAATAATTAGGCCCATTGTGGTCCCTAAAAAATTTAAATTGGACCAATTTTAGTCCTTTTGAGGACTAATATGGCTCTTTTTTGAATTTGTGAGGGACCACGATTTCAACTAAATGGGTCCTTTTGAATTTTTGAGGGACCACGATAGGCCTTTTTATTTGCTAGGGACTAAAACGCGCCTCGTGAAATTTTTTGAGGACCAAAAAGGGTATTTACTCTTTAATTTATAGTTAGAGATATCGTCTACTGCACCTGAAGCACAAGTATTAAAAGTATTATATGTTTGATAGATCTTTTGTTGGACAATGATGTGTAATTTATTATTTTTCATATCAAAATATTTGAAATTGGTATAATTTTTTTTACAGGTATTTGAATATATTTATAGTTTTTTAATATAAATTATATATTTACATATACATACCGGGTCATGTGGTTGAACCAGTACATTGATCGGGTCAATAACATGGCCGAATTTAATAACATTGGTTATAAGTTCCAATCCTCGTTATCTCTATTCTATTAATAAACAATTGAAAAATTATTGAGTTTCTTACCATGTATAGGTAAATTTATACATTATTTGTCTCTTGCATGAGAGGGTGTGTTAAATAAATTTAATATAAAATTATTAAAATGACCCTTACTTAGCAACTATCCTCTTGTGTTAGTGGTATGTTAGAGAGTCTAATATAAAGAGATAATTGTTTTAATATTTTGTTATCCTTAGTTTAATTTTCCATTTTATAATTTATTTATTTCTCTTCAATTGACTTTATTTTTTTTTTCTTAATTGATAAAAAAAATTAAAAAAAGAAAGAAAAAGAAAACAATAGGGCCCATTACACTAACCCCACTTCCTAATGTTCCCCTAGTTAGAATACCACATGGTGCTACCACCAAGGAAAGGGGCAAGTTTATTTTTCAAAGTCTTAAGTATGACCATGAAAGAACTAGTAACCGAATATGCTTCCAAGAATTCTCATGCTCCTCCAACGACCCTTTTATGCCCTTTTCTAACCGCCACTTCATCACGCTAAGCATATGCCTTCTAATATTCTAGCAAACCTTTGCTAATAAAACCACCCTTAACACCCTTCTTTTCCATCTTCTTCATCATCATCATCATCATCATATCACACCAACCCATTTTCTCATTTGATCTTCCTTCTCAAACATATTCACACATATATTATATTTATACATTCTTTTTTTTTTTCTTTTCCTTTCCTTAAATTTTCGTTGTTTTTAACGTTATGAAGTTTGGAAAGAGACTCAAGCAACAGATTCAGGAGTCGCTCCCCGAATGGAGGGACAAGTACTTGTCGTACAAGGAATTGAAGCAGCTTATAGGGTCGATTTCGGAGGCGCCGACGTTGTCGGAGTACGCTAAGGCGGAGGATGAGTTTCTGTACTTGTTGAACAATGAGATTGACAAGTTCAATGGCTTCTTCATGGAAAAAGAAGAGGATTTTATTATCCGCCATAAGGTAATTTATGCTCTATTTTCTTATTCTAAGCGACTCTTTTTCGTTTCAAAAATTGAAATTTTAATAGTTTACATTTGATAAAATATTATAAAACTAGAAAATATGTATGAAAATAAAGTGATTTATATTCCTAAACATTAAATCCTAAATTTTGTCGAATGAGACAAAGTAATAGTTCACTATTACTGTGTCTTGTTCAACAGTTAAGAAATTTTTATTTTTTTTCTTTATATAAATATAAATTAAGCCACTAGGGTTGGTCTGGTCTACTACTGTTGTGTCTTGTCCAACACTATGAGTTAAGGAATATTTTCTTCTTTATATAAATATAAATTAAGTGGCTAGGATTGGTCTAGGTTTGGGTAGGATATATGTTCAATTTTGTGTATAAAAAAAATATAAATTTAATATTAAAAAATTAAGGTAATTTGAACTTAGATGTGAAAATAATGTGTGTGTAGCATTTAAACATTATTTGGAGATACTGCAGTGTTTTTTTTAAAAAAAGTAATGGGGATCAAACGTTTAATTTGGTGGGCAATTCATTCTTCGTCTTAATTACGTCGTTTATGCCTTTGGAATATTCGTTCGAATGTTTCATTCCTCACGAAGGTGAATAAAAATATCATTCCTCACAAAAGAAATGGGAATTAAAAAAAAAAATATTTTAAATTCTCTTTAACTCGCACTGTTATTCGTACATTGTTTTTATGAACGGTCTCGATTTTATTTACTCACGTCACGTGTATGTGTCGAGCATGTGTTGGACTTGGTGAGAAAATTAATGAATAAAATAAACCGGGTTGGCTTAGTAAGTGGCCCAAAGTGATGACGAGGAAGAAACTCCATGAAGCAACTAGATATTATGAATTACGAAAACCAATGATCTTCACCTTCGTTAGATTTTGAAATTTTTATTGTTGAAATTTCATGTTTCCGACAAACTTGTTTGATTGTTAGTCTTAAGACACAATGCCTATTAGGCACAACTAATTAAAAAAAAATTATTGTTGAATTATTTTAATGTCATTTTGAACCTTTTGATTGGTTGCTTGTAATTGGCATAATTGTTTTTTTATTTTATTTATTGGTTTAGAAAATTGAAATCGTTATATAATTTATAGTTGGACAAACTTGTTTAAATAAAAAGTGAAATTATTAACGTATTCACTTCAAATATTTTCATGGGACACACCGGAAAAAAAAGAGAAGAATGTATCTTTTCATTCCTTATTAATATGGTTATGTCACGTGTGAAAAATAATAATTCTTTCTCATTAGATCAATATTTAATAATTTAAATAATTATTTCAATTTCACCATTTTAAAAATTTTGTTTTAAATTACAACCATTACATAAGAGTATTCATTTATGAAAGTGGAAGCATTCTAGGTTATCACGTGGAACACCGTCAACCGTGTTTGATTGAGCCTTAGCTTTCTCGAACATTGCCATCAATTTGAGATCTATGAAAATGGATACTAAGTGGGCCCCTTTTTTTTTTTTGGATACTCTTGAAATGTTCAATGAATTCAAACCAGATCTCGTTATTTTGTGGGTCCATTACAAGCGCCTTTTGCACCTACTATCTATCTGTTGCACCGCGCTAGGTGTGAACATCTTTATGCGATAATTTTCTATTTCAATTTTTGCACGTTTTATGCATAGAGATTTCAAGGACAGCCAGTACATTACATCCACCGGACATAATTACGCAATTAATTAATTATATTAGGCAAAATAATGTTACCCTTTCTGGTCTTGATTGTTTCTTGTTGTTTGTTGGTTTGTGAATTTCTTGTTCCCGTGGAAAATATGCTGCCATGAAATTTATGATAACAAGTAAAATTGAAAAAATAATGTTAGGTATGATATTTAATAAATAGATGTTGAAAGCAGGAGATACAACAGTGGATCAAGAGAGTAGTTGATTTATGGGGACCAAATGGTAGTAGGCCTTCAGAAGCGGATTATAAGGAGGAGATGGCAAAAATCCGAAGAGCTATTGTTGATTTTCACGGTGAAATGGTTCTCCTAATAAACTACAGCAACATTAATTATACAGGTAATCTTCTTTTTCCATTTTTTTTTTTTTGGGTTTCTAGATGTGTTCACATCCATTTAAACGGGACTAATCTTTTTTGTGGTATGAAGTGTGAAAGTGTTTGCCACCGATCTCAATTTTTAAGTTTTCAAATGACGATGAAAGTACAAAATCTGGTTTAGTTTTTGAGGTTGCCTCACCTTTTGAACTCTCATATTTTTGAAGCTTTAGCCATAACAAATAAGAATTGCATTTTATAGTTTTTATTGGTTCAACAAACAACACAATTTTGAAATTATGGGGTTTTCTTATTGATTAGAAGGCAAAGGAATACACTTTCATATAGTTTCAAATGCATCTCTCTTCCAACAAAATGTATTTAATAATTTTTAGAAATATAATATAATATCGTATTTTTATATATTAACTTAATTTTTTGATAGAGTTTAGACATGACCAACCAAGAAATTTAGAATTTGATCTTTGTAAATTACTTGGTCATTTGTACCACCAAACATGTGAATCAATTGGTAACGGATTGTTCTAACTTAACTAGTGATTTCGAGTTTGAATCTCTGAGAAATGCAGCTATGTTAAAACTTGATAGGAAGAGTTTTGCTGCCTATATGATTTTATTTGACTCGAATCGAACTAATCGATGAACAAATGAATAATATCAAAAAAAAAAAAACATGTATCTTCGCCTAACGACTTAAGTTTGTACGAGAATTGATTCATAACAATAATAATTGCTATTTGATGAAGAATTCAGTAAGTAATAAAATTGAGGTTTTTTTTTTTTTTTAGGGTTAGCTAAAATTCTGAAGAAATATGACAAGAGGACAGGAGGGCTGTTGCGTTTGCCATTCATTCAGAAAGTATTGGAACAACCCTTTTTCACAACCGATCTAATATCAAAACTTGTGAGGGAATGTGAAAGCATAATTGATGCAGAGTTCCCAGCAGAGGAAGAATCTGAAAGAGCAAGAGAAGCCACTATAGTAGCTGGAGAAGGGATTTTCAGAAACACTGTTGCAGCTTTACTTACAATGCAAGAGATCAGAAACGGTAGCTCCACACAGAGTCCCTTTTCTCTGCCTCCTCTCAACTTGCCAGACTCTGATCTCATTCAATCAATACAACTCAATGCTGCTGTGCCTATTGTTTAGTATATAACAAAGAAAAAAAAAACACTGAACTTGTGTCTCTAGATGACTATAGCTACAACAGTTTGATCAGAAAATAGATTAGTTATAATGGGATGTATTACATTTTGGATGAACACTGTAGTTAGTCAAATACATCAGTTACTTGAGATGGGTAACTTAGAGCCTTTTTCAAGGCTTAATATTTAGTAATTAAATTGTTTAGGTATTTTACATTGTATTTTGAGGGTCATATATGGTCAACATATTGGGTTTTCTATGTATTTTAAAGGAAATAAAAAAAAGAAGGTATTTGCATGTCTGTAGCTTAGTGGTCTGTTAAATTAGCTTAGACACAAAAGTATAAGCTCATATATTAATTTGATTTATAAATGAAATTTTGGTTTGAAAAGTTATAAAAAAAAGTTTTGTTTTTCTTGTGAGATGACAATCACGCAACTAGGAAAAAGATAGATAGAAATTTTATTATGTAAGGACGGTGCATGATTGAATATTGGAAAAAATATGTGTCATTTTAAATGACATAAGTTGTGTCATTTTATAGATATAAAAAAATATGACCCATATTTTTATTTTTTTTCTAGTAGGATTCACACCTCTTTGTGTCTATGAAATGACATAACTTGTATCATTTTAAATGACACACGCTTATTACAAAAAGAAAAACACACACACACTTTTCCCTTGATTATTACTTCCAATAGTTATGTTGTTATTCAACAAGATAAGGGAATTCATGGAATTTTATTTTTAAAAGTTGCAATTTAAATAACAAATTACAAAAATGATGTTTTTTAAAATATTTTATGCAATTAATATAATCAATTATGGTCAAATTGATATGTATCTAGTTGTGTGCACAGTTGTCATATGAGTTGCATATAAACTGATGCACAATTAATTACGCATCAAAATGTTCGCAACTCACAAGAGCTTGTCACGTGGCAATTGCATTGAAATTGATGCGTAACTAGTAGTGCATCAATTTACACACGTAATTAGTTGTATTAGTTGCGTAAGATATTTAAAAATGACATTGTTTTTATAATTTATTATTTAAATTGTAATTTTTAAAATTTTTAGCTGGGGATTCATATATATTATAAAATGAGAATTGATAAGACTTTGATATAAAAACCTTTCTTTTGAAAATGATAAAATTTAAATTTATTTGATTTTTAAATAAAATTATTTACTTAAAAAGTTATGAAATAGGAATTAATTTGATTTTGAAATCCTTTTAATCTTTGCGTCACGTTAAAAAATTCAAATTAGATGGGATTCATATAAACTTGAATTTTGAATAATTCGAAACACATCTAAAGAGATGTAAAAAATGGTATGAAACGATAAAAATTGTTGGGTTAAAATATCTAGACATGTTTGTATATCTTCTTACATATATTATTATCACCCCTGCAATGGTTCCTATATTGGAGGATGCTTTCCCTATGTGCATTTACCAAACTAAGCATATTTAACCTACAATTATGTTTGTTATAAGTATAACATGTTTTAAAATTGTGCTCTTAAATCTCAAGAGTTGGGTCAAGTGACAATATAAGCTCTAACATGGCTGTCCCCTAAAAAAAATATGGATTCAAATCCTGAAAAGAATTTTTGATAATAAAGTTGAATAATTGTTATATCGCTAGGTCGGAGACTTGTACGATCTCTCTTCTTATTTAAGTCGTGGGACAGAGAACCTCACATTGAAAAGACAGAGAATCTCACATGAAAAAATCTTCCGTGCTATAGTTCATTTATCCTAGGATACATAGACGAATCCTGCACAAATTTTTAAAATCGCAGAATCCGCCTACGTATCCTAAGATAAATAAACTACAGATGCACTGAAATTCAGTCCATCGGTTGCACTGAAGTTTTATTCCACTTACACAAAAAGATAATTAGAGTTATGAAATTAAAAATAAAATAAAGTTGTGCTGTTACCCAAAATATTGAAAGCATCCATAATAAAAGCCTTATATATGGCAAATTAGTATAGGGACACGTAATGGACTCCTGATTCTGAACTATGACTCTTGAGATATATTTGGCACTGCAAGAACATAATTTACCAACCACATCCTTGACATCTTCCGAATATAAATGAGAAGTAGATTGCAAACAATCTCTTTCTAAAGTGGCATGACAAAAGCAAGTGGATGAATGGTGGAATGAGTCTTATAGTCAGAGCACAATTTCTAAGATCTTTGAATATAATGATGAGATAGATGGCCACTATTGTACCCTTTCTTCGGTTCGTCCATTTGGTACAGCATTACACTAATTGGCTTACGGAAGCATCACTGTTAGAAAATAAAATTTTCCTGTTGTCATGAACAACATTAAAGTTTAGATATCTGTTCACATCACAAAGTCAAAGTAAAAAGGAGGGAATTTTTAAGTGTAGAAATGTTGTCATTGACAACTTTGACACGTTCATAAAAGGGGTTGACAATTATGTTCCAGAGATAAAAAAGTGGTCTGGTCCCATGTATCAGTTTTGTTAAAACTTTGGCATGATGGATTCAACAAACCTTGCTGAATTTTCATCTCAGAATTTGAAAGCATGTACCAACGATTTCAATGAGAGCAACCTCATTGGATTGACACAATTTGGAAGATTTTTTAGAGGCAACCTTGGAGGTCAATATGTAATAGTGAAGATATGGGATAGTGAAAAGTTGGAATGCTTAAGTTCCAAATATAATGATGAGTATTTGATTATCAGAGCAAGTTCTTTCTTTCTCTCTCTCTCTCTCTCTCCCTCCCTTTTGCATTCTTGCGACTTCTTTCTTATCTTGTTTGTTTCTGTTTTGTAGGAGGAAATAAAATTTTGGACAAACCCAAAATTGAAAGGTTATCCTAAATTGGTGACCTTAATTGGTTATAGTTGGGAGAGAGATATAAAGGGGGTTGTTTATGATCTCAATCCACTTGACACATTGGGAAGTGTAATAATGAAAGGTATTACTTTGTCTGTGTTCTGCATTTTTGATTCCTTACAAGCTTTTATGTTAATCCCCAATTCCCCATCAAATGTCAACGGTTGAGGGAAAATTTCAAAACTAGTTTTCATTGGAGAGAAAATGAGAGAATCTCTAATGGGTTGTAGGCCTTGTGTTGTTATTGAATTGTAAGTTGATAAAACTTTAGGTATTCATCTACATGAGTTTTGCTTTTAGTACATGAGAATTTGTCAGCAACCAAATTGTGGAATCAATTTGGTTCCTTGAATTGTTAAGGTGTACTTGGAAACAATGATAAACTAAGGGTTTTATGTTTATCATTTAACATAATATAACTTCACTTTCCTACACACACATTAAAGAGGTGGGGTCCACATGTTTTTCTTTCTCTTTCATCATTCCACTTTCTCTCTCCCTTCTGATGTGAGAGTTGGAAACAACACTTACATTATGTTACATAACACTAATAAAACCCATAAATTATTTGCTTTGATTTCATGTTATGATTTCTTTGCTGAGGCAGATAGTCTGAATTGGCTTCAAAGAATAAAAGTAATTCATGAACTTGCGAAGATCTTAAAATTCATTCATGATCAGGAGAAGCAAAACATGGTGTTAAATATCAGTGCATCTCATATACTTCTTGACGAGGTTAGCACACTATAATAGCAATAATTCTCTTCTCAACTTCTGAATGATTTTTATACATTGATGTTTCTTGCTTAATTCGTAGTTTCTCTATTTTGACATGCAACATGAACACTCAATTTTTCCCTCAGGATTGCAGGCCAAAACTATTTGATTTGTTGTTGCTTAGCGAATTGAAAATGCCGAAGGAGCAATTAACAATGTCAACTAGTCATATTGATCCTTATTTTTCTCTAAGGGGTAATTCTTTTAATTAATGCATTACAAATATTTCTTTTTAATTTGTTATGCTTCTATAACACTCTAAAATATGTTACTGTTTGTATACAGAATATACGCGTAACTACATTGTTTAAACCAAAATTTCTTTTCCTGTCACCAATTCTAACCGTCAGTCACAAAAGAACAGTTTTATCATTATTATAGGCTTGTTTTCTTTTAAATTGAAGCCTAAGATATATAAAATCATTCATATGTCTTCATTTAATAATTTAAGTTTTTGGGATAGTTGATTCATGGCATTAAACAGATATTCAAAATGCACAACAATTTTTTTTTTTCCCTACAATGGCAGGTGGTGAATGGGATAAAAGCTCCGAAGTGTTTTCGTTTGGTATTGTTTTGCTTGAATTAGTAACCAAAAGAATATCAGACATTGTGAAGACAGAAAATGACACCCTAAACTTGGATAATCTAATACATATTTGGGCTAAAAAGGAGTACAAACCAAATTGTTCTTTTGTCCACAAAAATCTACAGGAAGATTGGCATTATTGTGCTGAAGATGGTGTTACAATAACTCTACTGGCGATGCAGTGCATAGAATTTTTTCCATCAAACCGTCCAACAATGAAGGATGTCTTACAGAGTCTAGATAATCTTTCAGTGTTACAACATTTGCATGATGCTAGACCAACAAAAAGGGAAAAGAACTTTGTTTTATCTTGATATAAATTTAGCTTTGGTAAGCCAAATAGAAAAGAAGTTCCTGTTATCCAAAAAAGAAAAAAAAAGAAAAGAAGTTCCTTCCCTAGTCCATTATTATTATAATGAAAAAGAATTCCTCCACGCTTTTTTTTTTTTTTTTCCTTTTGTAGATTTTGCTAATAAATTTATTCAAATCTTTTAAATTTGTAGTCTTTTTAATAGGATTTTATTAATCTCATGTTAAAGAAGATAAGTTATCTCATATCATAGAGACAAACTTGTAGGCTCTACCACATGAAAAAAAAAAAAGATAGCACAGTTATCGAAGAATGTGTAAGAGGAAAAACTTATCTCATGTAGTATGAGAATAGTTTTTCCCTTTCAATAGATGCCAAAAGTTTAGCTTTAATTTCTTATATATGCCTCTTTTATGTATATCCAATTTTTTATCTTTAGTTATATGAGGTTAGTTACATGCTTTGGCTTTATGGAATAATTAATAAGATCTTTGGATTTATTGAGATAAGAAATCAAATGTGATATTCTTTACAAACGCATCATATTTGCACTAGTTTCTGCAGTGAAAAATGCATTTATATGGAGAGTCTAGATACCAAAAGTAACTATAAAGATCAAGGATTAGTTTTTGATGAATGTTGTGTTTATTTATTTATTTTCTGGTATTTATTATATTTTAGTGGAATTATTTTGCTACTAAAGAAGAATGTAAATGAATTTGAGTTATTCATGAATTGTTTGAACTTTAAACTTGATTATATAATTGAACCAGAGATAGTTTATAAAAAAAAAAGTTGTGTGTGTCTTCATGTTTTATAGATAATAATAGTTTGTATTTTTTATTACTTAATAAATATATTCTATCTGAAGAATTGTAATGAATCTTTTATTCTCTTTCCCTTCTTATTTTTATTTCATCTTTTAGCATGAAAATATCTATTGAATACTAAATTAATAGGCTTGAAAATATTTAAAGAAGATATTTAATAAAAGAAAAAAATCAAATCATAAAGAGTTAAATAAGCGACTTCAAACTTTAAATAAATGAAGTAAGTTTGAACAATTTTTCAAATGTAAGTGTGAATTAAATTTTTTTTTTTTTGGGTATATTAAGTGTGAATTTTAAATGATTAGCTTAATTCACTCATTTATTGTAAGATATTGTAAAAAAATGCAATAACAACTTCTATCTGTTGTAATTAAGGGTTATTATGTGTCATTATTTGGTTTTATGATTATAATTTAAGGATTATTAGGTGCCATTATATGTTGGGTTCGCTTTTTCTGCACTTACTGCAGATAAGTTATCTGCAGTAAGCCCAATACGACGTCATTTTGGAGCGGAAATCATGGTATTTTTGTAATTTTAATTTATTTTAGGGTTATAATAGTCTTTATGTTTATAATTTTTTAAGAGTTCAATATCAAAACGAAGTTGTTTTGGGAATAAATGCAGATAACTTATCTGCATTAACTGCAGAAACATTTTTCTCTTATATATTTTATGGTTATAATCTTTAGCATTTCTAATTAATGGTATATTAAACTACACAATATATATAGGGAAAAATATTTATCGGGCAACTTGAGATAGAATTATCTTCGGTCACCTTAAAACTACACCGTTTTGTTTATTTATTTCTTTATATTAATTGATTCATATTTGAATAGTTATGATTCCCTTTTTCTCTCTCTTCCTTTATCACCATTGATTCATCTTTATACGGTTATGATTTAGTAGCCGGAGATAAAATCATCTCAAACAACTTGAGAAACGATAAGCTCGTATATATAATTATAATCTCATTCATCCTTGTTCCCTATCTATATAGAGACGTCTACTTGTGCAGAAATGAAACAGAAGAAAAGAAAAATAATTCTTGAAAAATTAGTCTTTTGATAATCCATTATGTTCTTGGTATTTTCAAAGCGATGCAAGGTTTAAAATCCCGTTCTTCCCATTTCCTCATAGAAAATTTAACTTCAAATTATCTATGCCAAAATAAATTAAAATAAGTTTCAACGATGGACTCAAATGACAATATAAATCTCAAGATGGACAAATTACTAAAAAAGTCGGGGTTAGAATCCTAAATAAGACCTTTGGCGATAATTAAATAAGGGATAAACGAGCTTTATGTCACAGGAAAAAAAAAATCTCTAGCTGATAGTTTGATTTTTGTGCCAAATATTTTTTTTTAATTTCTTTTTTGTCATATGTGAATCCCACAAAATTTTTTCTCTCACAAACATAAGACAAGAACTCTTATGCAACACTAAAATCACTTTTCTCATTAAATAATTCTCTCGTTTAACCTGTGATTAGTCTCATATCTATTGAAGTATCTTCCCCAAATGAATGAATCAATTCATGAGCGTGGGCTTTTTGACCCTTTTGCCCCTCATTAATTAATTAATAACCAATTTGCCCCTGATCAAGAACTATCCACCAACCTGCCCCCTTTTAGTCGACTACCTTGCTGTTTTAGTCGAGCAAATGGTCAATCTTCAGAAAGTGGACTACCGCAAATTTAGTCGACTAAAAAATCATCTTAATCGACTACATTTTTGGGATATTTAGTCGACTAAATGTCGACTGAAACCCTATATTTTCCATGTTTTCGGTCTCATTTCGATTGTTGTTGTTGTGTAAACCTAAATAGCTCCCTTTGTTCATGTGTAATCCTCTCAATCCGATTGTATTTCATCTCACCATCTCTACAGACCTAATATTGTGAAATCATTGTCATTGCCCAATTCCAAACCCCAAAATCCGAACCCAAACCCCCAATTTCAGAACCCAAGTCCCAATTTCGTGAGGAAGATGAGCACAAGTCCAAACATGTATGTGACAATGATCTACTATGATGGAAAGCATTATGAAGGCCCCAATGGTGTTCAATTTGAAGGAAAAACGAAAATGTTGAAAATCAAACGGGCACTACATACAATGAGTTAAAGGAGAGAATTCAGCAAAAATTGGGTTTGCAAGGCAGCCAATGCGTTCAACGGATGATTGCCAGGGTAGAGACAACAGTTGGTAAGGGTGTTATTTACTACATTGGTAACGATATATGTGATGATGAAGATGTCGAATGTGTCATAGATGCAATTGTTGACCGAAAATTTCAAAATTTTATTGAGATATATGTTGAATTAGATTGTGGTCAATCTTCATCTGCACCCATGCATACAAGAAGTGAACCGTATTTTGGTCATGAAGAAAGAGTAGTCGATTTATCTGCACCTGCACATGTCATAAGTCAGATAACACTGCGGGAAATAGATGAGGATGAACAGGATGCCGATATGGACAGCGATGAGGACGGTGAACCTGAGAGTGTTATTCCACTAGGTGACACGTCAGATACTGACGTAGAGGGTGATTTCGACGCTGACACAAGCTCACCATCCCCGGGTTCGCAGGTTACGAGACCACTTCGTGTTGACCCTGTTAGCAGTGGTAAGATTTGTTTTTTAAAGATTTAATTTAGCAATTATTTTTTTTGTTATGAATGGTATTGACGGTGGCATTATAATGCATCCGTAGGTTCTGAGGTCGAGCCATTTTGGAATGAAAGCTCACATTATACCTTCATTAATTGGGCCCACCCTAATGATGAGACGGAGATATTGTATGGTGACGATGATGATCACGGTGGCTGGCAATTAGGGGATCCTTTATATTTGTATCAGGAGTTTCGTAGCAAATCTGAAATGCAACATGCAGTCAAATTATATTGTATGAAGGCTCACCGTACTGCCGTTGTGGCAAAAAGTGATGACCATAGATTTGTGATGAAGTGTCGACACCATAATGATGGATGTCCCTGGTATGTGAGGGCATTGTTGCCGAAGAATGGAAATACTTGGGTGGTTAGTAAATGGGTTAAAGAACACACCTGCCTAAACCAAGGTCTTACCCGGGATCATAGACAGTTGGATTCTGATGTGATATGTGCAACCATTATCAGTATGTATTATTCGATATATCTAACTTCCTAAGGTATGTTAACGTTAATCAGTTTGTATTCTGACTGTTGGCCGGTGTTTTTTTTTATATAGGTATGTTAAAAGAAGATCCATCATTGAAGCCAGTTCTTATTCAAGAGAGGGTACAACGTTTGTATGGATACAACATATCTTACAGGAAAGCTTGGAAGGCTAAAATGAAAGCCATTGTCAAGTTATTTGGCGACTGGGATAAATCGTATGCATTCTTGCCTGGTTGGCTGACATACATGACGCAGGTTAATGTGGGTTCTGTGTTCAAGATTGATACAGACCAATGTGTTGATGAACGTCGAGTGTATACGGATAAGGCTGTCTTTCACCGAGTATTTTGGACCTTTCACCAGTGCATTGAGGCCTTCAAATATTGTAAACCCATAATCCAAATTGATGGCACGCATTTGTACGGTAAATACAAAGGAACTCTTTTGATTGCAACTTCACAAGATGGAGATGGTTACATTCTCCCTATTGCATTTGCTATTGTTCCTCCTGGTGAGAGATTGGATGATTGGTCGTGGTTTCTTAGCCTCATGCGTTTTCACGTCACGCATAAGCATGGCATTTGTCTAATATCCGATCGTCATCCCAGCATCATCAAGGCTGTAAGAGATCATGCCGGTTGGCAGCCACCATTTGCGTATCATGTGTTTTGTCTACGCCACATCGGAAGCAACTTTAACACTAAGTTTAGAGATGTGGAATTAAAGAAAACCCTGATGAAGCTAGGTACAATCTTCTTTTTAATATGTACAAATTGTATATAATTCATCCTTTTGTATCTAACGCATCATTTTGTATTTCAGGGTACTTGAGTTCAAAGATTCATTTTGATATCAGATTCCAGGATTTTATCGACAGTAACCCTCAAGTAGCTTCATGGATAGATCAGATTCCCAAAGAAAAATGGTGCAGGTCTTACGATGAGGACGGTCGGAGGTTTGGTCACATGACGACTAACTTATCTGAGTGTGTGAATAAGGTCCTGAGGG